GGTATTCCATGCGTCATTTTAAACATGATTAGTATTATTTGGTAAATGCAAAGTTTATGAATAGTTAAAGCTTTGAGACAATTTAATCGTGGAATTTTCTAAAGGGTCTACATTTGCCGACTGACTTGTTTAAAAGGGTCAAATTTCTCGATTAAATGAACAAAAAATCATTGATGGGGGGGGGGGGGGGTCACACGCACACCCATTGCGCCAGCCTTATTTGCAACACACAGTTCTGTTTGCGCCAAATACAATCCTACAAGCTTTGGTTTACTGTAAAGTTTTTTAGGTTTTCCAGAAATTCGTACTTTCCAATCCAATATTTCAGTAAGAAAGTGATTTGTAAATAAATAAATAAATTAATTTTCATTAGAGCTTTAGTATTTAAAAATGCTTTTGTTTTATGTAGTACAGATTTATTATAGGAGATTTTACTTCCAATGAATTGGATTTGAAATTTAAATTTAACAGGTTGAACTTTTTTTTTATTTTTTATTTTTATTCATATATTTGCCATACATATAACATTTACAAGTTTCGTTAAAAGTTGTAATATTTACAAGTCTGATGAGTCTATATTTTTATAATCTTTAAATTAAGCTCATAATAAAAAATAAACTCAAAATAAGCTCAGTATAAAAAATTAGACATAACAAGCAGCATAATAACTAAAATTGATAAGAAAAAATCAAGTGTTTTTTTTTGTGTGTAATAAACAATTTTTGATATATTGTTTGAGAAAGGTAAGAGTTATTTAGATAATACACATAAACGGGTCAGTTCACTTTGTAGTTGATATATATGTATTTTAATTTATAGTCTTAGAAGAATTCTGAGTATCTGTTTAGATTCAGTATTAGATTTTTTAACTTAATTTTTCAACTTAATTTTTTCTACATTCAGTGAAAGGCGGTTACTTATAAACCATTCATTTTATTTCTTTATTTACATTTACTATAACTTTAATTTTTTATTGAAAATTTTAAAAAGTGAATAAAACAGATTGAAATCGTCAGGAAACAATATAAGATACCATATTTTAGATGCTTAAAATAAATCATTTATATACACTAGAAATAATAATGATCCTAAGATAGGTTCTTGGGGAACACCACAGTTAATAAGTTTTTTTTGGTTTCATTTGTTTCGTAGGTTATGCATTGTTTCTTGTTAGTCAAGTAGTCTTTAAAACAAAGTAAATTTAGATTGTTTACTCCATAGAGTTTCAACTTTGATTAACAGTGTCATGTTTTGGACAAATCAATGAAAACTTCTCATGTATAATAATCTTTGTTAAAAGCATCCGATATATTGTATACTAGGCCAATTACTGCGTGATCCGTAGAATGGTTTTTTAAAAACCCAAATTGTTTAATGTACAGAATATTGTTTGATGTTAAATGACTGTAAAGCCTGTTGTATAATGCGTTTTAGCAATTTAGAGAAACAGTGTCAGACAGTATAAGATAGTATAAAAAACTAGTTATCGGTGTGAAAATCAAAATCGTCATATTCTACGGTTAAAAAATTTCAAAACTAGATTCAAATATAGGCCACCCATCTGTTAAATCGGCAATTTGGAGTTTTTTTTATAATTTCTCTTTTTTTTTTTATATATAATTGCTTATATATTTATATATTTGCATCTGCGGATGCATGAGTAGTTTTAGATTTTTTATCTATTCTAAATAACAAAAATAATTATATTGGGGGGAGGGGCAGTACTACCCTGAAATAGTTTAGAGGATCCTTGTTTTTTTTTCAAGTCATTTTTTCAGTCAATTTCTTCAAAATTATTTATTTTAAAAATTATTGGGGGGACAAATGCCCCTGAAACTCTATAGAAGTTTTTTTCCTGGGTAACCTGGGGCAGCTTTGAGAAACAGAATCCTGATTTTATCTTCAGCTTAAAATTCAAAAAATTTCTTTTCTTAATTATTACTTTGACTAATCAGAAAAAAAATAATGGTAAAAATAAATAAAATATAGATTTCTAAAAAAAAGTTTAAAAAACGTTCGAAGTTGAACTCCTTTTTACCAATTTTTGTAAAAATAATTATAAATTAAAATACTTATCATTTATGGTTGAATAGTCATAAACTTATATCATACAACCTCAGAAGTTTATATCATACAACCTCAGAAGTTTATATCGTACGACCTCAGAAGTTTATATCATACGACCTCAGAAGTTTATAGAATACTGTTCATTAGTAACCATTCATTCATCAACCACTCATTAGTAACCATTGCCTCAATTTTGCTTTTTTCATAAAAACTTTAGCTGTGCTTATTCTTTAGAATTTTATTCCATACGTTTAGTTCTCTAATTAAGAAAAAAAACTCGTTTGCCAAAAAATTAGCTAATTAGAAAAATTAAATAGCTTATACTGTCACTTTAAGTACTCCATTTTTTTTAACTGTTATAAATAACGTGCTAACATGGCATGTTTTATTTTTGTTATTTTTATTTGGAATAATACTTTTATTAATTTGAAAATTAAAATAAAAACATTGTAAATATTTGTTTAGAAAATTCAGAATATTTAATTTAGTAGACAATAGTTGGGAAAGTGTTAATTGGCTTTTCGTTTTATCACATTGTCATAATGATGCTTCTCATTTTCTTTTCTATAAATACTATAATAGGCACTGCTCTAAGGAGCTAGCATCTATTGTGACATCTACTAAATTTCATTCTCGTGTTTTCATTCAATTAAGCCTCATCCTTTTTCTGTGACTACTCCTGTGAGCTCCAAAAATTCTTATTTATCTAGTTTTTTTCCTCGAACATCAGATCTTTGGAATTCACTTCCTTCATCTTATTTTCCTGATTCATATAACTTGCAATCTTTTAAGTCTGTCAATCGTTATCTTGCTCTATAAACTTCATCTTTTCTCTTCCAGTAACTTCTAACTCAAATAGTGGTTGCTGCAGCCTTGTTGGAAATGAAAATATTGAAGAAAAAAAATCCAAGTCTGAGAATTTCTAACTTTTTTTTGTTTATTAGAAAAAGGTTCGGCTTTATTTATATGATTTCCATTGAATGTGATACTTTTAGCATTAAAACTTGATAATAAACAAGCTTTCATTTTAAAATGAAAATTTTTACAAGAAAAAACAAGATGAAAACATAAATAATAGCTTTCACTTTTGAGTACATTTACAAATGATAGACTTATTAAACAATTTAAAGCAAATTTACTATGTTTTCGTTCCTTTTTCAGTGTTCTCAAAGTTCTTTTTTTACTGGGGTAGTTTTTTTGCAGAAGTTTTTTACTAAGAATAGTATACCACGACCTAAATTATGGATCATTTTTCATAAAACAAAAAATTGGTAAAGTTGTTAAACTGTTTTTTTTTTTTTTTTTTGCAATTATTATTAACATGCTGCTTTATTAACACAGCAATTATTAGCACGGCTGCGTTTTAAGTAGTCGTGTCGCTGTAGTTTGATGCCAGGTCTGGCCTAATAAACGACATTGTTAACGAAGGGGGCGTGAATTTTCGCGGTGCTCTGTAATAGGTCTTATCACAGGACTTCTTGAAGTACCCCCTTCCTTCCAAAAAAAAAAGCAACTATTAAAAAATATTTTTTTATTTAACAGAGATTTATAAATTCTCAGAAACGTCATTTAATACAGAGATATAAATTCTCACTCAAAAGTCAATCGCTAAAGTTATAGATCAGTAAATATTATCATGCAAATGTTTCTATGTAGTTTATGCTTTTCTTTGTAAATGTTTCGATGTAATTTTATTATCTAATATATTTTTAGCCATAGTTTTATGAAAAACGCTATAGGTTTTTGTCATTATTATTTTTGTTTAAAATGTTAATGCATAGTGCTGACAGTATAATGTAGATAGAATAAAAAGATTACAAAATTCTTGCCACAAAAACGTTGAATATGTAAACAGACATTTTTGCTTATTCAAGATTTATAAGTAACTCAAGTAGATTTCGTGAAGTGTTACGAATTGGTTTTCAGGAAATATGTCATAGTATTGATTTTAAATCTACATTAAAAATTCACTTTAAAAAACTCTTTTAATGTTAGAACTTATTTGCACAGTCAATAACAATACTTAGTTATAAATCTCCTGGGAAAAACAAATGGTTTTTCCCCCCAGTTTTGTTATATGGAGCATAGTAGACTAAAACATTTTCATTTAATCCATATTAGGTAAATATAAAAGAATTATTCAAAAAATAAATCAACTTTGGTTGATTAAAGTTTTTATTTTATATTTTAAATATATATATATATATATATATATATATATATATATATATATATATATATATATATATATATATATATATATATATATATATATATACATACATACATATATATATTGATTTTTTTCAACTTTTTGAAGAATATCAATTGTTTTGAAAGATACAAGTTTTCTCGATTCTATTTTATCTTTATTTAAACTTTTTACATACAATTCATATAATAAAAGTTGGTCTTAATTGAAAAATTTTAAAACAAGTGTTTTAAAATTTATAAAATTCTCAAAATATTTTCATAAATTATGTAATTACCTTCTTTTATTAATTTGAGTAAAGCTTTATTAAGGCTTGCTTGGAGATAAATCTCAAGTTAAAAAAAAAGAAAAGAAAATACATTTTAAAAATTTAATAAAACGTATGATTTTTATTATGTCGTCAAACTCGTGTTTTCCCTAAATTTACATTAACTGCGTTAAGATATTTGAGTATTCAACTAACAATTGATCGAGTATCTAATGTTTGTGAGACCATAACTTTTAACTTAACTAAACACCCACAATACTTTTGATTTCCATGTAATAACTATTGCGTTTTTGAATAGTAAAAAGGGTTATTGAAATATAATAACTATGGTTTATGAATAATTATGATTCATGAATAATCCTACAAGATGAAAAGTTTGGTAAGTATTTATTTTTAAAAAAAAGCAAATAAACCTGATACCTAAGAAAACAAAAACTGTTTTAAAGAAAAGTTTATTATTCCTTTAAAACAGTAGGAATAGTGCTGATAAATTATGAAATAGTGGAAAAAATATTTACGGAAGCAGGCAAAGAAAAAAAAATGATTTTTTTATCGCCATTTGTTATCTTATTTTTTGAGTTAGTTTATTCACACGAAAAAAGAGGTAAAAAAAGATATGGTCATTTAATCTTTTATTAATTTTTATTTTTTGATTGACACATTTATTTTACATTTCTTATTTTAAGTACATAGTAGATGAATATATCCATCTTCTGTAGATGAATATATCCATCTTTTTAAACTAATAAATATAAAATGAATGTGCCAATAAATAGTATATACTATGCTAAAGTAAAATTTTACAAAAATGAAATTTTATTACGTTTCTAATTTTAAGAATACTGAAAAAGGAATAAAATAAAAATTTTTAAATTTAACCTAGAGTTGATATAGAAAAATTAAATTGCGCTGTAAAAAAACATTAGCACCTTAAAAAAATTATTAGATTCGAATTTATTAGATTCGAATTTATTAGATTCGGATTTAAACAAACTTTGAAATTGAAAATAAATTTTAAAAGTAATTGTCTATGTAAAAATAAGTTTCACTAATAAAAAAGAAAAATTTTTTCACAAAATATTGTGACCAAAATCTTTTTGTTTTTTTATAACCAACTTCTTCAGACTAAAAGCAGTGAGATCCTTTTTTGTGATCCAGAGTGTATACTATTAAAAACGAATAAATTAATTTGAAAGTTTTTGTCAAGTTTTTAAACACCTACGTTTTTAACCTCAAACTTGGCTGGCATGAAATTAAAAATTTTTAAGTAATAAAATTTAAAAAAAGCTAGATCATGTTGGTATTTACGTATCGAGTTCAAATTAACTCTATAGTTATAAACATTGCAATAGACAAACTTCAGGCTTTTCCTTCCTATTATTTTTTTCTTTTTAGCGTTTTATGTTTTACCATTACTTTCGATTGCTACTTTTCTTTTTTATAAAGCCTCATTATCACTGATTTCTATAATAACTTTATTATAGAGATCAGTCCTCCTTATGTATAGTTTATAATAGATCTTCTTTGTATAAGAGCAAACCAGATTTTTCGATTTAGTACAAACAAGGCCGACGCGATAGGGGGGTGTAACACCCGCTCCCCCATGAACGATTTTTAGTCGGCAAATTGGACCCTTAGTTGGCAAATTGGACCCTTTTAGATTAGTTAGTCGGCAAATGTTGACCCTTTCGATATAGGTTAGTCGGTAATCTAGACAGTCGGCAAATGTCGTTATGGCAGTCGGCAAATTTTCGAAAACGAGGACCTTTTTTTTTTTTTTTTATTTATTTTAGTCGGCAAAAGTTTTAATGGCACCTCTCCCCCCCCCCCCTATGTGACACCTACTCGAGCCGGCCCTGAGTACAAATAATCTAGTCGTAAAGAAAAATAGTCGTAAAGCATAATTATTCTAAAAACTAAAGTTTTTGGAATGTAATGAAAAAAAGCAACTTCAAAAAGTTATGAGCAAATATTTTTAGCATTCCCTCAAAATGGGGTTAAAAATTATAAAATATTATAACTTTTAACCCCATTTCATTTTTTCATTCCCCAATTATTAAATTATTAAATTAAACTTTAATAAATTATTAAACTTTTAATAGTTTTTTTTTTAAACAATATTTGAGGGAATATTGATTAATCAAAAAAAATTGTTTTAAATTTTTTTTTGCAATATTTCAAGGGATTGTGAATACTCTCGTTAACAACTAGGGAAGACTAGGGCACCATGATACATTGGGCACCATGAAACTTTTTAATTGTGGAGAGCTGTGACAACCACTTTCTGATGGTAGAACAGTTTAACTTGCTATGTTTTGGTAACTTCTTTTACTCAGAAATTGGTCAACTTTACGTAAATAAAAACTTAAGCAAATTTGCTCAAATTTTTATTCACGTAAAGTTGAGCAATTACTGGAGTATATTGCTTTGTTTCACGTGAATAAAAATTTGCGCGAGTTTACTTAAATTTGCGCGATTTTACTCACGTAAAGCTGAACAATTACTACAAAAATGTTGAGTAAAAGCAATTGTTTTTATTTATTTACCCGGCCTATTTATTCTACAAATTAAACCAATCGCCTCAAAAAAAAGCGTATCATAAAAGTTGTTACGAAGCAAAAACCAAAAGTGTATCATGGTCCCCACTCTCTTCTATAATGAAAACCGTTAAAATAAAAACATATGCATTGATTTTTTGTTTTGTTTTGTTTTTAACGATTTATTATATAAAATACTAAATAACGCTATATCTTTGTATATTCTATATATTCCTTTGAAAATTTTGCTAATAAAGAGTTATATTCATGAAAGATATTTTCATTTAGTTTTTAGGTATTTGTTTTTATTTCACGTTACATTTATGTATTTACTTTCCAGATATTTTACACTACGTTTATATATTCATTTAAAAGTTGTTTTATGTTTTAATTTGTAACTTTTTTATACTGTTAAGGATATTCAAAAAGTGTATGTGAAGACATTCTGAATGAAGGTTATTGCATACACAATAAGCATTCGTGTATGAAAAATGGAAGATACAACTATCGCATGTATCACCTATGCAAAAAATCTTGCGGTGTTTGTGAAAAAGAAAGTTGTGAAGATAAACCCGGTGCTTCGTGTAACTTTTGGAACGCTCTTGGCTACTGTACAGTTAATAATTTTTTTTTCAAATCAATGAAAATAAAATGCAAAAAAACGTGCGGTGCGTGTGATAGTTCAGGGTTGGTACCAGTTACTCAGACAACACCTTTTCCACAAAGAAGATTTGTTTTTACAACTACACCCATAACAAATAAAATTACGAAAACATTACCTCCTAAAAGAAATGAAGGTACGTCATATTGTGTAAATGTTTAGTAGTAGACAACATTATAGTAAACAATAGACAACATTATAGTAAACAATAGACAACATTATAGTAAACAATAGACAACAATATAGTAAACAATAGACAAATCCAAGATTTTGTAGATGTTCTTTGTGTACGAAACATCTTTTTTACTTGTTCAGTATTTCTTATCAACTGACCATTAACCGAAGACCAATGTTTTGTTATCACTTTTTTTATTGCAAAATGTTGCAATAAAAAAAGTCAAGTCAAGATTTGTGCTAATAAAGTAATAAACATTTTTTGTTTTCTGTAATAATCTAAAGTAGAGAAATTACCCGATCAATAGCGAGGCAAAAAATAATTAAGGCAAGAAGCTTATGTCTGGTGCGTTTTGCACCAGACATGAACTTTTTGCCTTAATTATTAGAAAACACTCAATCAAGATTTTTGTATAAAAGCTTTTGAATAATTAAAAAAAAAGTATATAGTAGTTAATTGAATAATTAGACTGATTAATTGATGACTATCTACTAACTAGCCAGCATTTGGTTTTTAAAAAATGTATTTTGATCTTTTAAAAGACGTTTTTTTCAGACCTAGGCAGTTATTTAAAAAGCGAGTAAAATATTTTTCAATTTTGGTGGTTTTAGGTTGTAGACTATGTTTATCTATTATATTTTACCGATATATGTAGTATATGAAAATAACTTTAAACTTTGTAAGTTTTGTTTGAAAAAAATATTATAATAATTCAAATGCTGTTGAGATAGAGCGCCATGCAATATCAATGACAGCCAACGCAATAGTTGTCTAAAAATTTGACTTTAATCTGTTTTTCTTGTTCAATATTATCTGCAAGTCAATCAGTTTAAGTCTGTACTTAAACTCTTTGATTAATGTAGGCTCAACTACCGATTCCAGTAAATTAATCCATCCAAAGGCAACCTTGTTTGTAAAAAAGTGTTGCCTACTTAATTAAATTTTAACAAACTCTGATTTACCACAATGCTTACAATATAATTAATAACTAATATTAAATGCTAGACCTAGTGTATTGATTGAATGCATTTGTGAAATGCATTGTGGACTTTTTTCATATCAATAGATTCAAAACTTTTATATAATTTATATTGTTGTAAAAGGTCACCTCGTGGTCTTTAAACTTCTAAAGTTGTTAAATCTAATATTTTTAGTCTTTGATTATATTCCAGATGTCTTAATTCTGATATTAATTTAGTTGCTTTTCTTTGGACTTTTTCAAGTTCTTTAATATATTATTTATAATAGGGAGTCTAAGAATCGCAAACTCCAAATAAGGTCTAACGTACATTTTCATGAGGTATTTATATTTATATCTAAAAGTATTATTTAATATAGCAAGCATATTTTTTGCTTTACTGGCAGCATTCCTTACTTGTCTTTCCCATTTCAAATCCTTGAATATATAAATACCTAAATCTTTTTCAGATTAGATTTTTCAATTTCTTTTAGTTCACCATCATTTTTCATGAAATAAGAATATCTTTTATTACTTGCACCAAAACATATTATTTTATTTTTCTCAAAATTCAAACCCAGTTTTCATTTAATAGACCAAGTTTTTTTATGTCATTTTGAAATAACTTTGAATCAACCTTGGTAAATAGGAGCAATTATTTTATTATAATTAGCATACAAGCAACATTTATTAAGAAGTCTGCTTGGTAAATCGTTTATGAATATCAAGAAAAGGAGTGGTCCAAGTACAGAACCCTGCGGTACTCCACTTAACACATCAACCCAACCTGCCTTGCAGGTTGTGTTTATGTGTTAAGTGGAGTATCACAATGGTGGTCGATGTATACACCCAATTATAACTTTGTATAACGATGTATACACCCAATTATAACTTTTTGATTACTAAAACATTAACAACTCCATATCTGTTGAATATCACTAAAATTTATTTGCTAAATAGTAATTTCTATTGAACTTGTTGTTGCTCTTTGCGTTAACACAAACTCCATGTTTAAGCCTATTTTTTCTAAAAAAGTTGTAATCGATAATATTAACATCTGATCCAACAGTAAACCATGTTTCTGCGACACAGATTACATCCGGTTCATAAATATGTGCCAGAGATTTTAACTCGTCAATTTTTATTATTAAGAGATGTTGCGTTTGTATACCATATTATCAACTCTAGATTATTATTAACCTTTAACAAACTAGATTTTACTTTTATGTCTTGATTAATTATTTGGTGAAATTCTACCATTATTGTACACATTTTTATATTCCATATAAGTTAATGACTCGTAATTAATTAGTTTTGATTTCCGGTTATTTATAATTTAACACTTTTAATAATTTTCTCATTACTTATACCATAATAGTAAAACAACGGTTGTAAATTTTCTAAATTTTAATTTTTGCACTGATCTCTTAATAATAATTTTGCATTGTAACTTTCAGCCTCGGTTAAATCGGGGTGAATAAAAACATTGCTAAACTTGCTCAATTTTTTTAAGTTTTTTGCAGTTTTTAAAATAGAGTTCCGTTCGTTTTTATTGTTAAGGATAACATCAAACGGCGGTTCTTTATCAGTTTTCGTTTTGAGCTTTATAACTTGTTTAGGTTCAATCGCTGCTTTTATAGATTAAAATACATTAACAATCGTTTTTCTTCGTTTCTCTTTAGCATTTGCTATGTCTAAATCTTTTGATGCATTAATTTCAAAAATTATAACATTGTCGTCTCGTTTCGTTCTTTCTTTTGTTTTGGCAGCAACATCATTCATAATATGTAGTTGCTTCTTTGACACTGATGCATTTCCACTAACAACAATGTAGCATTTTATTTTTAGATTTAACTTTTTGGTTTTTGCCTTTTTTGCCTACCAACTGCTGTGTATGCGTTAATCTACGGCAAAAATGTAAACATTTTTAACAAATTTAAAACAGAAATATAAGTCAGTACCAGTCCGCATATATATAGCAGGATGAAATTTTTTAAACAAATTCTTTATTTGCAAAACTAAAGTTTATCACAGCATACTTTCGGTCAACGATTGTTCAAGATTGACTCGCTACCTTAGATATACTACCTATCGAAAATAAGAAGGCAACATTTTTGGACAGAGAAAAATTATAATGGGTATTGAAAATAAAAAATTGTAGCGATAAGTTTACATTGAGTAATACTACTTTTTTTTTTCTTTCTGCATAGTGGTTAACAATAATCTCAAACCTTAACGCTAATATCCTATCGTCAAACATACCCGTATTTTAAACAGTTTTGTTTACAAAACCAAATTATGAATGTATAAATTAAATAACGTCTTACCATCTTAACATAAATATTTTACGTCTTATTGTTTATATAATTTAGTTATAACTGTATAAATAACTAACGTTTCATTGTTTTTATAATTAACTTATTAAAAACTAGATCAACAACTTGTTTTAGAATGCGGAAAAAATAAAATACACGATGCACGTATCATAGCTGGCACAATTTCTGCTCCTAATTCATGGATATGGCAAGCTGCAATTTATTTATATGAAGAACTTGTTTGCGGCGGAACGCTTATAGCTCCTAATTATATAATAACCGCTGCCCACTGCGTAATTTATGCAAAAAAAGAAGGGATTACAATTACTCTTGGAGAACATGTGCGGTAAACATTTTCAAAAGTATCACTTTTAGTTTTGCTTCATTTTTTTTATTCTTTTTTGTTTTTGTTTTACTAAGACACAATTTTTTTTGTTTTTGTTATTCTTTTTTGTTTTTGTTTTACAGAGAAACAATTTTATCTAATTTTTGTTATTCTTTTTTGTCTCTGTTTTATAGAGACACTAATGAAGGAAGTGAACAGGAACATACAGTTGAAAATATCATTATTCATAATGAGTACAACGATTCGTCACTTGAAAGTGATATTGCTATAATTAAACTCAAAAAGAAAGTAAAAATTAACGATGATATTGGATTTGCTTGTTTACCAAATGAACCCCCTCCAACTAATGCTACATGTTACTTAACAGGTTTTTTACTAAAAATTTAATGAAAATGGCTCATCCAGGTAAAACTATTTTTTCCTTAACTACCAATTTCTCAATTAAGTTAATAAAAATTTCTTTTCGATTGAAAAAAAAAAAACTTTTCTTTAAAAGCAAAAAAACCAAAATATGTGCCAAAACTATCTGGGTGAGCCAAATTATCTGGGTGAGCTAAATTACCTGTTTTAAAACTACTTAATTAAGTATGATGCCAAAGATAGTAGATAGAATCACACAAACAACAAATAGAATGAATTGCTGAAATACTGCAAAGAGAGTGAATAATATTATTAAAGTAAAAGCACAAATTACTAAAACACATTATCAAAGAGTGTGGAGTATATTACTAAAACAAAGAGGTACAAAAAATAATTGATTTTTTATAATTATTTATCTTGAATTAACGTTATAATTTGGAATTTAATTAGTTTGATAATAAATAAAGTGGAAAACAAAATCTATTTTATCAAAATTCAAAAGTATTAAATGACATCATAGTTTAGCATTAAGTTTTTTAATTTTGTTTCCTTAATATTAAAAATAGCTAAAAAGATTTCTACAAAAGTGACCCCCAATAAGGTAGAGTATACATAATCTAGAGGTAATTAACTTGAGATTATAAATACTGTATTAAATGATAATTTGGAGTAAATTTAAAAAAAAAAAAAAAGATTCATTTAAAAATGTTTTAACAAATCATATTTTTATTGGAACCATTTGAGACTTTTATATCATATTTTATTCATGAATTGTAAATATATTAATTTTATACCCATTCATTACTAAAGCACAAGTGTCTCACAAGGTACAGTTTTGTTGCTCCAAATAAATTCATTTTTAATTTTATGTAACTTATGCTTCATCATACAATATTGCCTGAAAAAAAGTTGAAATGGTTTGTGCATAAAATTAGAATTATAAATAAAATTTAAACAATGAAATTAATATTTTTACGGTCAATAATAGGTTGGGGACTTCTGACTCCTGGTGGCATATCTTCCAACATTTTGAACGAAGCTAAAATGCCAATCGTTAGTAATAAAAAATGCGGTGAAAAAAATAAAAACGACTTAGGAACATCAAAAGTTACAGAAAATATGTTATGTGCTGGTTTTGAAAACGACAATAAGGTATCTGGCTGCCACGGAGATTCTGGTGGACCTTTTGTTTGCAAAAAGAAAAACTCTTGGGTAATTATAATTCTTTTTAAGTTGGTAAATAATTTGTTGTAGTTTTGAAAATAATATTATTTTAAGCTTTATTAATATATTTCAGGTTCTTCATGGAGTTCTCAGTTGGGGCTCACGGTTTTGTGATGCAAGTCATCGATATACCGTATTTACCAAAGTGTTTAATTATATGAATTGGATAAATAAGAATCTAAAGTAACCTTATCTCGCCATTTTATCTCAAAATTTAAAATAAAAAATTCAATTTAAACTTTTAACGTTCAATATCTGTATGTAAAATTTTCTTTCATATAAATTTTAAAAAACATTCTTGATCCTTTCTAATAACTTTTTAAACAAAAAAACATAAAGTAGAAAGTTGCTTGTTAAGAAAATTAAACGTTTTTTCTGTGCATTAATTCAATTTACGTTTTTACAACTTGCACAGTAGCATAGTTATTTGCAAAATAAAATATTCAATTGCATAATTATATAGTTATTCAAGAAACAACAGCATTAAAAAAATTAAATAGTCTAGTTGGAACTCTTACATTCTCTGCGTTATCTGAAGAAACACAATTTAGTTTACTTAACGCTACTAAAGCGCATCTTTGTTTATTGTTGATGTTAGTCTAACACATGTTTAGCCTACCAACATAGCGCTTTATTTACTTAAAGTAAATAAAGCGCTTTAGTTGGCAATACGTCGGCAACGGATTGACATATTTTCGTTATGTTGGTTCGACGTAGCGTTGTGATTGGCATTGACATACGAGTGGATGCTCATCGAATTAACAATTAACTATGCATAATACTAAATTGACTTCATCTTCTCACTGTTGGTTGCATTTTTTACAAAAAAGAGAGTTAGATTCCATTGGATTCAGATAGAATCCAATAGATTCCATTGGATTCAGATAAAAAGGCCGTATAAATGATTATGATAAATTTATAAACTCATTGATATATGGCGGATGAAATAAGGAAATACTAAAAGATATCAAAGGTATATTAATATATCATTAACTGTAAAAATGAATTTTTTAAGCTTTTAAAGCTCGTCTCACAAACCACAAATCAAAATAAAAATCGTAAGAAAGGTTTTTTAAAACTAATTGTTTCAATATAAATGGTCTGGCAAAATCAATGCAAAATTTGCCAAAACTTGTTTTAAAAAATGGAATGTTTAATAAAATTATCATTGCATAAAATGTATTTATTTTTATATTTTGACACATACAAATTATGACAAGACACCAAAAATATTAAAATTACGGCAATTTAATTTTACATTTAAACATAAAACAAAAAATATTAAAAATATAAAGCTCATATATATTAAATAGTTTCAAAAAGGCTTGTTATGAGAATAGCAGTCTTTAAAATGACGAGCTGCAGGCTTCTGTTGCATGCTTCTGTTGCATGCCTCTGTTGCATGCTTCTGTTGACAATAATGAGGTTGAAGTTTACTTTTATAAGTACACCCAATAGTTCACCAAATTTTTTATCGTATTATTGATCAAAGTTTCAATTATAAAATTTTATTGAAGGACTCATATATAAATCAGAGTAATAATTTAAAACTTTTTTATTTGGATTTAGAATTAGAACAAGCGAGATTAGAATTAGAACAAGCGAGATTAGAATTAGAACAAGCGAGATTAGAATTAGAACAAGCCAGAGAGATTGAAAAGATCGGCAATAAACTATTAAAAACTTTACTACTAAAATTTTTTTATATTAGCAAGATAATTTTATTTGACTATCAAAACAAAAATATTAGGAAAATTTAACATTAGCGTCAGGACAACAACAATGTCAATTACCTTAGAGACAAATTATTTTCATTGAAAAAAGTTGCACAAAGAGCCTTCTACAATGAACAGTAATGTATACAAACAAAAAAGAGCTGAATATGTTAGGAACATCAACAAATATATCAAAAATGATCACCAGCTAGTTAGGTTAGATGAAACAAATTTTAACCTTGTTTTTAAAAAAAAAAATGCAAGGATGTGCCAAACAGGTAAGAAAAACAATAATGAAAGTACCTGTTTCAAAAGGTGCAAACATACATTATATTTGATTGGACCTATATCAAAAATAAATGTCGTTATGATAGAAACTCACAGAGGATCAATTAATGCAGATTCTTGTAACAATTGGCTATGTTTCTCCAGTGGGTTACATCCGGGAATCGTTTAGGGGATTTGTCGTCTTAACAGACAATGCTCCATGTCACGCTTATTAAGAAAGGGTGTTTGAAAATTCACCAGCTTAAGTTGTTAGGTTTAGGACCCTACAGTTCAACATTAAACATAATAGTTGTAATTAAGAAAAGTTTATAATACACATTCATGTTTTAAATTACATCTTACATTTATTAACTACAACTTTCGTGCTCTAAATTACAATTTTGAAAAGGTGTAGAACCATTTTTAGTAATAAAGTACATATATTTTTTTTAAGTTGATTAAGGTGCCCCAAGAAGTCCTCACGGTCTTATCACAGAGCACCGCGGAAGATTATTTAACAGGAAGTTCACGCCTCCTTCCCAACCGATGTCACAAAACTTGCCCAGAGGTGGGTTTGAATCACGGATCTTACGTTTCTGAGGCAAGTGTGCCACCACTGCGCCACGGCTGCTTATAACATTTAACATATAACGCTTATAACATATAACATATAAGATAGTAGATATTCAAATAATACATATTGTGGGTATACTGGCAAAAGATGCTCGAAAATTGACAGTTTTGACTTAATGCAGTATTGTAAAGTTTAAAACGCTCTAAAACCTGGCAAAATACACCAAAAAGTCGAATGAAACACCTTTTCTCTAGTTACAAAAATAGATTTAACGTTAAATCATAAAACGGGTATTGTATTCAGGCTAAAAACTTTTAAGTTAAAAAAAATTAGAGCTATAGATATTTTCTAAAATAAACACTTAACACCATGGTGTATTTAAATTTCAACACCAAATTAAATTTAATAAGAATATACGAGTTTCAAATCGGAAGAAAACTTAAATGATTGATTTCTCTAAAAAGGGATTTTTGAGACGTTTTTTACCAGTATACCCACGATTTATGATAGTGGATTAACAAAAAATACATATATGATTGCCCTATAAAAAGCTATTTTGATAAATTTATTTAAAGAATTTTAATAAAAGTTAAGACTTTTTTGTTTCTTTATTAAACTATTGAGCCCATTGGAAATCTTTTTAACCAAAATTCTTTTTTTATTTATACGGCAACTTTCTTATAATTGGGAGATGTCAGTAAGACAATTTCATCAATTTAAATGAAAGCAGTTATTATTTTTTGGTATAGGTGTTAGTTTTAATAACTATTTTTGAAAAATAAGAAGTGCTCTACAATATTTTAGGAGCGATCAAAAGTAAGAACATAAAGCCGACTGTGTAAAATGCATAGTGCCACTGTTGGTCCGATGAGCATCCGATCGCATGTCGATGCAAACCATAGTGAACGTTGGACCAACATAACGAAAATATGTCAATCCAACATCAACCGGCTGCCAATTATAGCGCTTTATTTGCTCAACAAATATGTGTTACGTTAACAACAACAACAACAAACAAACATGTGTTACACTAACGTTAAGCTAACTGAATTGTGCTTATTTGAATAACGAAGAGAGTGTAAGCTAGATTCTTTCATTTTTTCAATGCTTTGATTCCTCAAATAGCTATATAATTATGTAAACATCTATTTTACTATGCAAGTAACTATGCTACCATCCAAGTTGTAAAAACGCAAACTGATGCAGTTCATCACTCACCACCATTAGTTGATAGCAGCTTGTTTTTCAAGAAGGTTCTTCCTATTTTTATCAGTGATCAACAATTTTAATTACATGGTGTTCATAAAGTATTCAGGTGGTGGATTCAATGTTGATAATTACCTTGATTTTGTGTCTAACCGACGTAGGTCAATAGCATTTTTGTAATAATGCATCTTTATACAAGGTTTCTAATTAAATTGGTACTTTCTGAATTCATCTGCTGAGATCCAAAAATCTTTTGAACTTCTTTCTCATGAATTGGCCTATACTATATTAACATGAAAATATTTCACTGTCACCATATATTTTACAAAATATTTTTAGATTATTCATTTAAAAATTTCATCTTAACTCAAGATAATGAGAACGGCACTCATCCAAAGATGAAGTTTATGAGTTTGAGATCGTAGATTAAGCTTAAATTGAGTTGAAGGGAAAAGTTTTTTCAGATTGTTTTGATTTTACTACACATTTCAAACTACGTCAGGTATGATCACTTTGTAGAGTCCGATGTACTTCTGGTTCTAAATGTGATGCTGATGTGTCATACACGTTCATGACAATTTTCAGAAATCCCTTTTCTCCATCAGCACAAATAAAAAGAACACTCTTCAATTACTCACCACCGTCGCCTAAATTTCTAGGATTCTATTTGATGGCAACCTATTAGAAATTGCGGCAATAATAAAACAGTAGCAAAAATACTTTATTTGTGCCTAAACTAAAACATTTTTTTATCAGAAAAATTTGAAAAAATGCTTTAGTTTAGTCACTTAAAACTAAATATTTTTAGTAGTTTTTGCATTTTTTTTGTTGAGTTTAATTTTTCGCAACAAAATAAAACAAATAACAAAAAAAGATTATGTGGCAAACAGCGTAAAACGACAACGTAAACTCTTTACTGTTTTATCTTACATTATTTAACCTACCTCACCTACCTCAATTTCTTGTTTGTCCTAATTTCAACAAACTATTTATACTACGCAATCATAATTTATACCGCAGGAACTTTAAAAATTATAATAAAGTATTAATTAAGTCTGAATTATTAAAAGTTGATTGGAATGACATTACCAATATAAACGATGTTAACTCCAGTTTTGAAGCATTTATTTCTCAAACAACTTTGTTGTTAGATTGTCATGTACCACTCAAAAAAATTAGTATTAAAAGCTACAAGCGTCAATTCAAGCCATGGATTACTAAAGGAATAATAAAATCAATTCAAATTCGAAATCTTATTCAAGACAACCCAGTGGGCACCGGACCAAAATAAGACGTCTTTTGAACGTTCAAAAAACGTCCCAAACTTGTATAAGACGTTTAAAAGACGTCTTTTTTACGTTCGTGCCCATTAGGAAAAGATCCAACAAATATAATTAAACTAAAAACCTTCTTTAAATGCTATTGATATACCATAATTAATCTAATAAAACTGAGTAAAAAAATACATTTCAAAAAATTCTTTTCAGAAAATATAAAAAATCTTCGTGAGACCTGGAAAGGCATAAAAAGTCTAATAAATGTCAAAAATGTCAAATATACCTCCATATTGCTTACAAGTTAATAAAACATACATAACTGAACCTACTCTAATCTGCGAAGAATTTAACAACTTTTTCACAAATGTAGCTTATAAACTTAATTCTAAAATTCTCTCATCTTACATTAGCTATAAAAAATATCTTAAACATCCAAATCTTCATAGTTCACTGATATCTCCAACAAACCATTCTAAAATCTCATCACTTATATCTAAATTAAAATCTAGAAAATCAATAGGTCCTAATAGCATCCCCACAAACATTCTTATTGATTTTAATTCTGAATTTTTTTATATTCTCTCTAAGCTATTTGATATCTCCTTCTTAAATGGAGTTTTTCCTGATATTTTGAAATTATCTTGTATCATTCCAGTATATAAAAATGGTTCAAAACTCTCAAGTACTAACTATAGACCGATTTCAATTCTTTCTATCATTAGCAAGCTCCTTGAAAAACTAACTCTAGATTATACTCATTTTTGAATTCCTTTAAATGAGTTTCAGTTGGATTTCGATCAAATCACTCTACTTGCCACGCTTTAATAAGTATAACCGAAAAAATAAAAAAGGCACTGGATACTGGTCAATTTGTAGGTGGTGTTTTTATCGACTTACAAAAAAACGTTCGATACCGTTAATCATACCATTTTAATTTCTAAACTTGAACATTACAGAATCCGAGGAGTTTCTTGTAACTAGTTTAAATCTTATCTTTCAAATCAAAAGCAGTTTGTTAGCATTAATGGTTACAAATCAAATAACAAACAAATAGTTTGTGGTGTTCCCCAGGGTTCTGTTCTTGGTCCTTTATTATTTTTGATTTATATTAATGATCTGAATAACTCTGTCCGCATCTCATCAGTCCATCTTTTTGCTGATGATACTAATATCTTCCATATTAATAAGTCTCATCATTCCTTGTGTAAGAATATAAACTTAGACCTAAAAGATTTAGCTCATTGACTAAATGCAAACCTAATTTCTGTGAACTTGGAAAAAACTGAACTAATATTTTTTCATCTCCGAGACAAAAATTTTTATACAACAATTATATAACTAAAATTAAAATTAATAAGTAACGTGTATATCCAACACACGTTGTTAAATATCTTGGTGTTTTTATAGATTCGAACCTTTCATGGAATTTTCATATAGATGCACTCCGTAAAAAACTTAATCGAGCTAATGGTGTGCTTTCAATAATACGCCATTATGTTGATAAAACTACCCTTAAGAATCTGTATTTTGCAATTTTTCAATCTCATCTCAACTACTGTTGTCAATTTTGGGGAGAAATTGGCTACTGTAATATTAATAAATTGTTATCAGCTAACCGCCAATCAATCCAAATAATTAATTTTCAAGTCCATAATACAGAAAATTCAAAGATCTTCAAAAAACTTAAAATTCCTACCTTGTCAGCACTAGTTAAATTTGCTAATCTTCTTTTTGTTTTTGACTCCCTTAATAAAAATTTACTTTTCTCTATTACAACCTTCTTCACTGAAACTCGATTTATACATTCACATTTAACTAGAAACATCAATAATGGCAAACTAAATGTACCTCTCTGTAAAACTTTAAGGTATGGTAAGTATTCAATTAGTGCATCAGTGAATGGAATCAAAATCTTGTGTGCATTGTGAATGAGTTAGAAAAATTAAAATTTCAAAATAAATTATCTTCATTTCTTTATTTAAAACCAAATAAATTTAAACAAATTCTAAAAAAAAATTTATTTTAAGTATTTATCATTATTAACTTTCTTTAGTTTTCTTTTTTTTTTCTTTCTTACTATTTCTATAGAAACTTTATTATTTTTGTCATTAATATTTATTACTTTCATTACTGCTGTTTTTATTATTATTATTATTATTACAATTATTATAAATACTATTATTTTTGCTAATACTTTTGCTCTATTAATGAATAAAGTATTATTGTTATTATTATTTTTTAAATTAATATTATTATTATAATTATTTGGTGACTCCTTTGATCAGGATTCTGGATGAGTGACTAATTCCTCAATTAATTATTTATATTTATTTTTAAAAATTATATTTTGATTTTATTATTTATAATGTTATAGATATTCATATTATTCTTATTTTTATTATTATTATTTATAACATTATAGCTATTCTTATTCCTATTATTGTTACTATTGTTATTATTGTTGTTATTATTATTGTTATTGTTATTAATATATTATTGTAATTATATGATTGTAAATTTTGAGGAAAATAAATATCTTGTTGTTGTTGTTTCAAGGTATTCACCACTTTATCTTACATTATTTAACGTCGTATTCGCCACTTTTTTGTTCGATACTTTAATATTCGAGATGGCTCTTTTATTTACTTTTTTTTACACGAGTTCATTTTTATCAAAAAGTAAATTACATAAGCAATTTTAAACGTTTAATGTAAATTTACATTTTTGTATTAGTAATTGGCTTTTTTGAAAACGACTTTTACTTTATAATGTAAGTTTTTTTACTTTTAAAAGTAAGTTATGTAAAAAAAGATATCATCAAAAATTAATTTACTTTTACATGTAAAAAAAAAATCACATGAAAAAGCTGTTTACTTTTACACGTTAAAGTTAATTACTTTTTAAAATCATGTTTCATAATAAAAAGCTCGTAAAATTGTAATTTACATTTTCACATAAAAATAACTAATTTAAAAAAGATTATATTCTGTAAAAGTAAGTTACATTAGCAAGTAAAAGAAAAAATGCACAATGATTTTACTTGTGAAAATAAGCTACTTTTTTAAGCAACAATTACTCATTTAAAAAACTTAACTTAAGTAGTTAAGTTTTACTTAATTAAATTACGTAAAAAAAAATATTACTTGTAAATGTAAGTAAATTATATATTTTAATATGAGTTATGTAAAGTAATTTACGCTTAAAAAATAATTCGCGTTTTTACATCAAAAAAAGTAAAAGTGCCATCCCTAATTCTAATCTTCTGTTTATTTTCTAACCTTTCTACGCGCCGTTTAATATCGAGTTTACTAGTTAAAAAGTTTTATAACTAGTTTCTTTTTCACCATATATATATATATATATATATATATATATATATATATATATATATATATATATATATATATATATATATATATATACATATATATATATATATATATATATATATATATATATATATATATATATATATATATATATATATATATATATATATATATATATATATATATATATGTATATACATATGTATATATATATATGCAGATACACACCCTATCCTACCCTGGATCCGTCACTTATATAAAGATGAATAATTATAGTTAAAAACACAGAATATATAGTAAAATATAAACATTGTATTTTAAAAAACAATTTAAAAAGTTTATAACGAACTATTTTAGGAATTTTAGCAAAATAATTTTCTTTGCAATATAATTTACAATAACGACATTAGAAAGGGTCTTAACTACCTATACCTTTTTGTTTGAGTACAATTCCATCAGCGTATTAAACATCTGAATCATTAACATAAATGAATAAATTTTATACTTAAAATCAAGCGAAGAAAATGTTTTTTGCAAAAAAGTTAAACTACTTCATATGACTCTTTATCCAATCAATATATCTTGTCACTTTTGTAAAAACGGTATAACGATGACTGGCATCGCACACGCCAGATCCCCAACTTACAACGCCTTCTAGGGTCTGAAATTAAATTAACATTATTAATTAACTAAAATTGTCAAAAACTAATTCTATTTCTACAAAAAAAGAAAAACAAATCTCTATTTCTTAACTCGGTACCTCTTTATATGACAAATTGATTTCAAAACACACATAAATTACTGTTCCAGACAATATATTTTCTTTAAAAAACTAAACTTAAAAATCTTGTTCTTAATATAGATAGTCCTATGAAATGTTTTAGTTTTCAAGACAAATGCAAAAATTAAAACTAAAGCTTTTAGTCTAACACGGAAAATGTCTAATTAAAAATCTAATTAAAAAAAATCTAATTAAAAAAAGATATTATCATTACTAACATGCTAAAACACACACACAGGCACGCACAAACACTGACATACTCATAACAAAATTGAAAAAAAAAACATCACGATAATTACATTTAAAATATTTATGAGATTTAAAATGTGTAAGAGAGAATGGGACATTTTTGGGTTTTGCTTCGTAAGAATTCTTTTAATACGCTATTTATTTTAGGCTTTTAGTTTAACTTGTAGAATAAATTTATACTTGCAAAATTAAATTTTTTAATTACCAAAATATAGCAGTTTAAACTTGTGAGACTATTTAAAATAAAATTAGTAATTTGTATTATTAAAAAAGTAAATAAAAAGTATAAAACTTAGAGAAAAAAAAGATATTTACTTGAATGACAAACAAATACTAATTATAACCTAAATAATCCAAATTGCACCCAATTGTCTAAATTATGTTTATAAACAAAACATTTTTATCTTTAAATCTACAGATGTGGATATTTTATTTTAACATTTTAGTAAAATTTCATCATAATTTCAGGACATTTTTTTTTTAAATTTAAATAGTAGTTTTAGTTCTCTTAGAAATAATTATATATATATATATATATATATATATATATATATATATATATATATATATATATATATATATATATATATATATATATATATTTAAACAAAATAGAGTGCTCAATGTTCTTAAAAGAATAGAGCAATTATAAATTAGTAGAAAACCACTTAACAATTTTTTTTTTTCATTTTACACTGTTTTTCATCAACTAAGACTTATCAGAAATGAATGATCAAATTAATAAAACTTCAATTTATACCAAAAAATTAAATAACAGGAAGTCGCAAATGTTTTTACTACTGTAAATTTTCACACATTTGTGGAATTTACTGACACTATAATAAAAGGAATTCTTTAGACATGATTACTTATGCTTTTTTATAAAAATATTTTTAAAAAGGGGGGATTTAATGTAACTATTATTTGAGCTCACTTATTTTTATAGTTTTTTAGGAGAAACTTAATTTCGTGCCTGCATTTAGAAATCGATTCCGATTTTTTGTTTAACAAACATTCTTGGTTTGCATGTGTAATTATTTCAAATTTTTCTTGTAGAAATAGTATGCATTTTTTGGAAATATTGTTGTATGCAGGCGCTGTTTTAAGGATGGACCGATTCAGTATAAAATCAGCATTGTTTTTATCTTTTAGTTCCCATATATATTTTGACAGCATGGTGTCTTTTGAATACTTTTTATTTAAAAAAAAATTTATATATATATATATATATATATATATGTCCATTCAGGTTATCCTGCTACTGGTAATATGCAGCCCAGTACAACCTGCTTTATGTTCTGCTGCCTTGTAGGATACGCTTTTTTAGCCAAAGGCTAGGAAAAGCCAACTCTAACTTAAAACACCTACTGCCTTGGGGCTCTTTGTTATGTAAAAGCTAGATATGGTGTCTCGATAAAAATACTTATCTTGGTCAGCTATTAAACGCATTCGGCTATTGTCTTGTAGAAAGCCTCTTAAGTAAAGGTTTAAGGGGTAAACAGATTCTATCTGTTGACCAGCCTCGCACCCCTTCTTCATCTATTAGGCTGGCGCAGATGTATTTATAATACATCGTTTCCAGTTTAGGATGTTTAATGCTGGATCTTCTTGATTCAATGCATGGATATTGCTTTTGTCTAATAAAGGGTGCAATAGCTGCAAAATATCAGAGTACTAACAGTACCTTGTTGTGCATGGATGGTGTCCCTGTTCTTTCTTTTGGTATGCATTGTCGGGGCCACATTTAAAACCCTTTGTTTCGTGTGAGGGTTTATTAACAGTATTAAGGCAATTGTTTGGATTATTAAATAGTGTACTGAGTATTATCTATGCTTTCAGTCATTCTTTTTAATAAATTTAAAAATAACCGAAATACCAAAACTATACAACTCAAAAAACTATCGTCATCACCAAGTTCTCTAAACCTATCATTCACTAATATTCATGGTCTTCGGAGTAACTTTTTTTCTGTTAAGTCTTATCTCTTGCAAAGTTCACCAGACCTACTTGCTCTTTGTGAGACTAATTTCAGTTCCACTGTCTCAATTTGTGATCTTACTGTTAATCGTTATCTTCCTTTAATTTGACTCCAATAGTCACATGTTTGGCATGGCCATTTACATTCGTAAAAATTCACCCATTTGTCGGGAAACTAGGTTTGAATCTACAAACTATTCTTTTATGTGCTTTTGTTTAGCACAACCTCACTCTATCGCCTTTCTCTTTGTTCTTTATCTCTCTCCTTCATCTCAAGATTTCACTTTTGTCAATGTTGTTTCTGCTCAAATTGACCAAGCCCTCTCTCATTATCTATCAGCCAATATCGTTGCTGTTTTGATGCTTATCACACTGAATGGTTTGGCTCTGGTGTCAGTGAATCTGCAAACGTTAAGACCCACAACTTTTGCCTTTTTCAATCTCTAACTCAAATAGTCAACTTTTTAAGTCGTTTTCCAGACAACCCAAATCATTTACATTTTATACTAATGTCTTGTTTCTGATCCTAGTCAGTGCTCAGTTTGTCCACATTCACCTTTAGGTGCTCCTGATTACCATCAAATCTCTCTAAAACTATTATCTCATTCTTCTTATCATCAGAATCTCCTTATCATCGTACCTCTTGCGTCTATCTTAAAGCTGACTGGGACCTTTTCCGTGATTTTCTTCCTGATGCCCTTTGGGTAGAAATCTTTTGTCTTCCTGCTGATAAATGTGCTTCTTAAATAATTTCTTAGATTCAGGCTGGCATGGAATCTTTTATTCCTTCTCAAAAATTTCAATTCAAGCCTCACTCTTCTCCTCGGTTTACCTCACATTGTGCTGCTGCAATTTTCAATCGAAACCGTTACTTCCATATCTATTAGCAAAACAATTCTTCAGAAAACAGACGTCTGTTTACTATTGCTAGAAACTATTGTAAAAAGGTTTTGTCTAACACCAAGGCCCGCTATTCTCAGGTCATTAAATCTTGTATTTTGTCTCAAAAATTAGGCTCTCGTGACTTCTGGAGAATCTTTAACAGTACAATGAAAAGGACAAATCTGTTATTCCACCTCTGTTGTGCGGTTCAGATTTTGTTACCTCACCTAAAAATTATTTTATGGAATACTGTTGCCATATCTGGGGGCGAATCTTTCAATGATGCCCTTTTTCTTTTAGATAAGGTGCAAAAACGAATTGTAAACATAGTTGGAGCTGCTCTTGTAACCAACCTCCAACCATTATCACAGCATCGTAATGTTGCTTCTCTTTCTCTTTTCTACAAATCCTATTACGGGTAAATGCTCCAAAGAGCTAGCGTCTCTCGTGCTATTTACTAAAATTATTGTCGTGTTACTCGTCATTTAATTAAGCCTCATACTTTTACTGTGACTATTCTTAAGTGTTCCAAAAACTCTTTTTATCTAGTTTTTTTCTCGAACATCAAATCTTTGGAGTTTGCTTCCTTTATCTTTTTTTCCTCATTCATATAATTTGCAATTTTTTAAGTTGTCTGTCAAGCGTTACCTTGCTCTATAAACTTCATCTTTCCTCTTCCAGTAACTTCCAACTCTAGTAGTGGTTGGTTGCAGCCTTGTTAGAAGCGGAGATGTTGAAAAAAATATATATACTTACATACGTACATTTATATATATATATATATATATATATATATATATATATATATATATATATATTAGTAAAAATACTTATCTATCTTTTTTCTTCTATAGCTTGTTCTCTTTCAATTGGTTCATCAGTAAGTCTTCCTGATAAACCTATTGAAGGAAAAACAAGTTGTAGAATAAAAAAGGTAGGTAAATGTTTTTAATAAATTAAAATTTGCAATACTCGCTAACTAAACGATTGCAATACTAAACGATGTTTGAATAACATTAAGATGACGTTAGGCAAGCAATATTTAAAAGTTGTAACAACGTTAAAGCGACGTGAATAAGAAATACGTTTTAACAACGTTTAAACAATAGTTGGGTTCGACGTTGCTCCGATTTTCAAGTTGGCGCTTTGCCTACGTCGGTTTGCGACAATCGGCCGACCAAATTCTCAATGTTGTTTGAATGTTGGCTCAACGTATCTCTGCTATCTGGGTAGCTGGGTAAGAGTCAATAAAAAATGGTTTTGTATTGAAATTGAATCTCCTAGCATTACATTTGCATGTCTCTTAAAAGTTGACTATAAATTTAAAAGAAATGATTTTTAGAATTGCTCATGATACAATGGAGTTATTATACTGATTTAGGGCCTCCCACAAAAGCTGTATCAAGTTTTTGATTACTTGCTAATAGAAAACAATCGCTTTATTTTTAGTATCAATTTTTTTTTTTTTTAATATCTTTTTTTTATAATGCTTTCTCGATGATAAGACTCATCTTAGTTCCTATAACCACATAACCGTCTTATCAAATTTCTTATAACTACATAACCTGTCTTATCAAATTTCTTATAACTGCATAACCTGTTTTATCGAATTTCTTATAATATATTTAAATAATTCTTTTTAGATAATTATTTTTTATTTGTATCTTAACTGTAATTCTTAAATATAGTTTTTAAACATAAGTGTGTTTTTGTTTATCACGGTATAAAAAAATCTTTTTAATGCGTAGTTGTGAAAATAATAATAAATAAAAAGCTCAATAATTTCATAATCAAATATATTGTTTACCCAAGAATTATTAATCTTGCATACTAACGGTCCTCCTGAGTCGCCTTGACATCCAGAAACTTTACTTCCGGAATCAAATCCAGCACAGAGCATATTTTCGGTAATTTTGGATACTCCAAGAACATCTTTATTTTTTTCCCCACATTTTTTATTATTGATTATTGGCATTTGAGCTTCGTTCAAAATGTTTGCTGATAAACCACCAGGAGCTAACCTGCCCCATCCTAAACCAATTTTTTTTTAATTTTTCTTTTTTCTGTTTTTTTTTTAGTAACTAGAAATTACAATGAAATTTTCTATTAAAAGAAAGGTCAAACCTGTTATATAACACGTAGAGTTAACTAAATTATTTACTTTTGGTAAACAAGCCACGCCAACATCATCGTTATACTTAACATTTGTTTTTAATTTAATTAAAGCAATATCATTGTCAAGTGATTCGTCGCTGTATTCTTTATGATAAACTATACTTTCAACTTCTAGTTCTTTTTCGTTTTCATCCATTTCGTCTCTTAAAGAAATAATTTTTAAATAATTAAAAACGCGCATATTAAAAGAACATATATATATATATATATTTTTTTTTTCTTTTCTCCTATATATATATATATATATATATATATATATATATATATGTATATATATATATATATATATATATATATATATATATATATATATATATATATATATATATATATATATATATATATATATATATATATATATATATATATATATATATATATATATATATATATATATTAGGGTGGGTCAAAAAAAATTTTTTTCTTGTTACAGGCTCTAAACATTGCTTATAGTTATTAATATTGATACTATCAAATATGAGAATGATTGTGATAGATTTAAAGGGCGCAACTTTATTGGGAAAATTACCGGTACCCTGATATTTTGGAGAAAAAAAGTTTTTCAAAAGTAGGTCAACCTGGTACTCAAAAGAAGCGAAATTTTATAAAAAATTAAAAAATATTAATCGTTTTATTAAAATCATATTGCCGTTAAAAATTGTTATTAAAAAACATGTAAAAATGCACCTTTTTCACTTTTAGTTAAAAAACTATAGTTATTATGCAATAAAATCTAAAATAATAATTTTTATATGAAAAAAACATTATTTTTGAAATTTTATAAAATTTCGCTTTATTTAAGTACATACATCACATAATTTTGAAAAACTTTTTTTTTGAATAATAATAGGGCCTGCTAATTTTTGTAATTATAGTTGTGGGTGGAAGACATTGTTCAATCCATAAAAGTAAATACTTTCCTAAATTAATACATAAAAAAACAACTTTCTAGCAATGTTTAGAGCCTGTAACAAGAAAAAAATATTTATTGACTCACCCTAATATATATATATATATATATATATATATATATATATATATATATTATATATATATATATATATATATATATATATATATATAAGGGTGTACAACTCATATATACAGGGTGAACAACTAATTTCTGACACCCTTAGTGTTCTTTTATTAATAACTGTAACTCAGTTGTTAATAAACATTTTTATTCAATAATAATACTTTTAATAAGTGAATAGCATTCTTCCTGGGTGATGCAAGCCCATTCTTTTTAAACTCTTGGAATTAGCTGTTGGCGGTGTTGGGGTCTGGAATTTTAAAAACATTTTTCTGAAGCCTTGCCCATACATGCTAAATGCAATTAATGTTTGGTGAATTTCCTAAATAATCAGTCCAGACATTGTCGAAACTCATTGTTGAACTGAAAAATTTGAGGGGATCAGAAATTAATTGTACACCATGTATATACACATCGTTACCTAATATAATCTCCAACTTTAACGGTTGTTCCCTTGGCTTCTCTGTATATAACACAGTGTGCTGCTGTAAGTACATAATTTGGACTTATCAAAGTACCACCACAAACAAACTCTTTATAAAAATATATTCCGACTTGCCACACCCATGTGTTTGGAGCTGCTTCATCTCCACCAATCATAAATGCATCTCTATTTTTAGTTCTTTCATGAAGCTTGTTCCTACCACATTCTAGATATTATATACTATATGATAAAAATAGTGATATATAAAGATACATTAAAATAAAATTTGTCAAGACTCGATTTTCAAAATTAATAGAGAAACACGTTATATACACTACCGTTCGTAATTATTCGAGTGACATTAAATTCTTTAAAAAATGCTTTTTTTTATTTAACTATTTTTTATGTTTATTTTTGCACTATTAGATAATTTAAAATTATTTTGATCAAAATGCTTTGATAAAAACTATGACAATAATAAAAATGCTAAAGTGAGAAAAACTACGCAAAAATGGGCCGTCAATGACTGTAAACGTGGGACGACGTGTCGAAGTTTTAAATCTTTGGTTTCAAGATTATTTATTGAATGTGTGTATTTTTTGACTGTAAAACATGTTGGATGTAGTGTTAAGGTCAGGGGGTGTTTTGGTTGGAATGCCACCGGTAACTTGTGTGAAAAGAGAGGGAGTAATAACAAAAGTAGTTAATTTTTAAAATTATACCACACCTTCGGAAAGATGGTTTAATAAGATAGCCATTTATTTTTTCAGAAGAAAATGACTTAAAGCTTAAATTCAAAATATAATTTACAAAAAAAAAAAAAAAAAAAAAAAAGTTATTTGACTGAGTTTGAGAACGATCAAATATTGAATAGAATGCTTTAACCTCCCCAATCTCTCTTATATCGGATTTTTTTGAAAGTAGTGTCAAAAACAAATGTGTAATGATGTATAAGATGTGGATTATTAGTTTTTTTTCCACATCTTAAGCATCGAAATCATCGAAAATTGGATGAGTTGTTAAGTAGAATGCCAAGAATATATATGGCGGTTGTGTTGCTAAGGATAATTAAAAGGCAGGTAAACTATAAACTAATCTAATGGGATTTTATATTAAATTTTTTGTAAACATAACAAATAGAAAGATAACATATAATTCAGGTAGACTTTGTTTTTAGTTTTCTCAGAATAGTAAGTAAAATTACAGTAAGTAAAACTTTGATATCTCATATCGAAAAGTATGACCTTTCGAATAATTATGAACGGTAGTGTATATATATGTGGTTGCATAATTATAAATTAATAATAATAAATAAATTATAAAATCATGAGTAAGTTAGCATATTTTTGGTTATTTATTGAGGTTAATATTACTTAATATTCATTATGAAAAAACAAAAGAAACTTTTTCATTAGAAAAATATAAGCGATTTTTAGATTTGATAAAATGTTTTTTTAAAGCAAAAAACAACTTTAAGTTTATCACTAAAAAAGATTATACTAATTTAAAACTTTCTAGTTTTGAAAATAGTCAGGTCAGGTTCAGGATCATCACAATCACCCTGCTACTGGTATCATGTAATTCAGTACTACCTGCCCCAAGCCCTGCTGCCTTTTAGGGTTTGCTTTTTTACGCAAAGACTTGAAGAAACAAATTCTAACTTAAAAATTTCCTGCTTTGGAGCTCTTGTTTGAGTAAAGATGCTAGCGATGGTGTCTCAATAAAAATACTTATCTTTGGCAAAAGTTAACTGCATCCAGCTACTGACTTGTAGAAGGCCTCCTAGGCAAAGGCTTAAAGGGTAAACAGATTCTATCTGTTGACCAGCTTCGCAATCATTCTTCGTCTATTAGCATGGCTTAAGTGTATTTAGAACACATTGTTTTCAGTTTAGGATTTCGAATGCTGGATCTTCTTGACTCATTTCATGGATTAGGCAGCTCATTTTATTATCTCCTAATGAGAAAACAGCTCTAAAAATCAGTTTTATGGTTCTGAAGCCGGCTAGTAATCAGGTTTCTTGAACTCTGCGCTAGCTCTCTGAGATGCTGATTCCATTAACAGCTGTAAAAGATCAGAGTACTAACAGTGTTATTTTGCGCATGGATGGTGTCACTGTTCCAGAGGTGTCCCTGTTCCAGAGGTGACCCTGTTCCAGAGGTGTCACTGTTCCAGAGGTGTCCCTGTTCCAGAGGTGTCCCTGTTCCAGAGGTGTCCCTGTTCCAGAGGTGTCCCTGTTCCAGAGGTGACCCTGTTCCAGAGGTGACCCTGTTCCAGAGGTGTCCCTGTTCCAGAGGTGACCCTGTTCCAGAGGTAAAAAAAGCAAAAATATTTTGTACTCAAGTAAAAGTACTGTTACTTGAGTAAAACTGTACTTAAGTACAAGTAGAGTTTCTGGTCAAAATGTTTACTCAAGTAAAATTAAAAAGTAACTTAATAAAAATGTACTCTGAGTAAAAGTTACAGCGTTACTTTTTTAACAGCCATTGTCAGATAATAGCTGTTGAATAATAAAACATAAACATTGTTTTCTGTATATCTTTACACTGAACCTTTTTGTTAAGTTTGAGCAGCAGCTGGTTTTCAAAGTTATTAGATTTTAATCTTGCTTGCTTTGGTGTAAATAACAGTCCTGCACTACTAAATAGTCGCTCATAGGCAACTAAACTAGGAAGACCGGTGTTTAGTTTGAGAGAAAGGTGTGGAAATGAGTTCAAAAGATCCATTTTGTTTGAACTACAAGCTAATTACCCATTAACCTTTCCTGTTCCTTGTGATGAAAACTTGTTTTCTTAATCTGACAAATGTTGCTCAACTTGCTCCATTTCTGCCATCTGGCCTATGCGTTATCTCAGATAGACCGGACCTGTTGAAAAACAAATGCAACGTTGCATATTAAATATTTTTTTCAATGAAAAGATAGAAAATACAGAAAATAGACAAAATGAATGCAACAGATGACACTATGACACACACAAAAAAGTAAATCATACCTCCTCCTATAATTTCAGTTCTTTTAATCCAGGTGTTTTCAAACTTTGGCAGAAGAGTCGTTGCAGCAATCAATTCTGTGTCTTGCATCATTCTACCAAAAAGTTTTTGAATAACATCCTGAATTGCTCTAATAAGGGGCAGACACATTTTTTGGGATGTCTCCAGGCTGCTCAGTTTTGTTTGTAACTGAAAGATCACTGCCAGAAGCGATCCCATGTGTGTGTTGGTCTTAGGCTAAAGAATGTCCATTGCTTTTATAACAGGTTTCTGTTGTAAAGGCTATGAACAACCTATGCAATACTCAGTCAGGAAAGCAATTTCAGCTAGATTCAGCCTATAGGACACACAACAAATGCAAATCTATAGATATTTCTTGCAGGAATATGTGTGGAATAAATATGAAAAAAAACATGAGTATAGGAAATTTAAGTTTAATTATTTCAATCATTATTAGTTTATACTTATTTAATTACATTGATGAAATTATATTTAAAAAACTCTCACTTTTACTTTAAATTCTTCACACATGTTTTTGATAGCATCTAGGTCTTTTTCTTATATAATCTATAAGATTGTCTTAATAGCCATGTATGTCGCGTTCCGTCTAGTCTGATTTGGCCGGATGAGCTGGAGCTTGCATTTCTGATCAACTTTTTCTGCTGCCAAGTATGACTAACCTGTCTTGTTCCACATTGCTTGGCATTTCCTAAATACAACTCGCGATACTCATTTGTATGTGTCCATGTTTTTTTCTGCCAAGGCAGCATCAGCTGTGGCGACTAAATTTAACAAGTAGTTGTACTTGTTGTAATTAAGTTGGTACTCAAGACCGCTGTCCTTTTCCAGGATGTCAAATGTGTCCAGGTACTCAGGTTCAAATTCTTTAGAAAATTTATATTCTGATTCAGACTCTGCTATCTGAGTCTGGCTTTTCTCTTCAAAAACACTAAATGCCTTCAAATAAAGTTTGAGCCGCTGACTGTTGTAGTTCTAACCACTTTTCCCTTAATTTGTATTTACAAAAATTGATACAATAAACCGAGAGTGCCTTCCAGTATATTGAAGGCGGGCGACCCTCTAAATCTCTGGCAATCAAGTGCTCCGGATCTCCGCTACAAAGTTTCCTTGTCAATCTAATGAGCTGTCATCTCTATTAAAATTTTCTGGTGCTCAGATTAGCAATCAGCAGTTGTGACAACATAGTTGACTTTACTGAGGTATGAAAGCAAAGTCTTTTTTTTCTTCGAATCAGAATTGATGATAAAAGTATCATCAATTCTGATTCAAAGAGAGGGTCTGTATATGACTTTTCAATGTGGATTTAGTGCATGTAAATGTCCTTAAAAAGCAGGTTATTCAACCAAAGAAAATGAAAGATGGTTACAAATAAATTAATGATCATTAGCTTGTCAACCTTTCCCTGTGACAGACGTTTGTTTGCACATTTCACTTCTTGTTCCTTCTTTGGCTGGGATATCTGGTGGTAGGGTTAGCTTCCGTGTTGCTGCAAAGTCACTGAAAGCCTTAAGCTTTGATAAATTTTCTCTGTAAAAAATTTTACATAGAAAATTTATCAAAGTTTTTTTTGTTTACATTTCCTAGTGCTTATTTGCAAAATTAAAGTATAACTATGTGACAAAAAAACTTTATTCAGGAAATGGTTCAGGCTCCTAAAGCAGTCGTAGGTAGCTGCAGGATCCTAGAGCTACATACAACAATTGTGTAAACTAACTAAAGTACAAAGTAATATTATAAAAGTATACAACTAATGTTAAATAATCTCAACATGCTCGCGGAGGTTTGATTTAAAGTTTCAATATGCAGCTAGTTCAGTCAACTTGGGCAAACACAGTTTACACAGTTGTCACCATTCTTGCACTTGAAGTCAAAATGGTCGGTTAAATATGGTCGCAAGTTTGCCTCAGAAGGAATTGATAGCCATTCCAATTCAGCTGGGTTTTGCATCTGTTTTTTTCTTACGCCAATATTTTTTTTCCAGGAATTGACAAATCGACAAACAAGCAATCGTTTAGCGTAAATTTGACAAAAAACGAACTTCGAGTTTGCCATTAAAATTACGATATTTACTTGAAGATTTAAGAAAACTTTTTGCACTTACAAGTTTATTTATCGTTGTTAAAAAGTGAAAAGAATTCAAGTTAAAACCTTTTAAGAATGCAAACAAATTGTTTAAGTCTTTAAGAGCGCTCGCAACTATTTTCTTTTAAAAAAATTTAAAAGCTTTTCAATTTTATAAAACATGTTTTTTTCTTTTTTTCAAAATTTGCAGAAAAACATATGGAATTGACAGGGCCGACGATATGGGTTTCAAAGTGGAGAAGCACAATCGTCACTTTTTAAAAAAGTCCTTTATATCTAAAATTTTCTTTACAAAAAAAGGTCTATATGAAAAAAAAAAAAAAAGGATGGGGGCCTTCTCCCCCCCCTGTCCCTTCCTGATGTTATCTGCTCTAATTTTTTTTATTTTGCAAAGATACGCGTGCCATGCATGTGTGAAAAAATGCTTTGATCGGTAGGCCTGGTTGGGCAATTGCCGAGGGTGTCGAATAGAAAAGGGTGAAATTTAGCGGAAAATCATTATATTGGTAACTCGAGGATCGATCGCATTTAATTATATAAAACAACTATTATTTTGCTTAAAAACTTATTATATTGTTTTATTATTGTGTGCGAATGAGAAGAAAAGTTAGAAAATTTTATGTACTTATTTATACCTGATACAATATAAGGCCATGTCAGTGGCGGATGAAGACTTCTTGGGGCCCGGGGCTATTTTTGTTTTTGGAGGCCTTTTTATGGGCCAGAGCCTAAAAATGACTAAAAAAAAAAGGTCGAGTTTGTAAAAAGAAAAAAAAACAATGTGAATGGTTTATTTTCTTTTTACAAACTCGAGAATGATTTTGCACAATGGCAACTCTTCATAGATAGCATAGAATGGAATCTTGAAGCAGTGTTGCTCCACGATGGAAATAACTATCCAGCTTTGTTTTTGACACAATCGATACAAAAGAAAGATGACTGTGATTGGTATAACAGTTTAAAATATTTTTAAGAAGAAGCTTTACAAGCTTTACACCTGAGGCGAAGATCAAAACTATGGTAAATTTGTTGGAACCCAAAAATAAAACCAATGTTTAAGACATATAATGTTGAAAGAGCAATGAAAAAAGTTGAAGCGTGTGGTGTGCATTTAATGATGTAATGGTGGATTCATAAGCATAATAAAAAATTATTGATGTTATGTCAAAACAAATATGGCTTTGGAATCAGTGGCAAGAAATACATGAAAAACATTTTATAATCTAGGTAGGCTTGACCAAGATTTTTGTTAAATTGTATAATTAACAGAAAGACAATTGTCCTTCTTTTTTCTGTAGGAAAGCGCTGAACTAACCATTATTCAAATCTTAATTAGTTTTCCTATTTTTAACTGCGACGCATGATTTGCAAAAAAATGATTGGAGCAGTGAAGTTACAACATTTATTATTGCCGCTCCTCTAACTTATTTACAAAACAAAGTTTTTGTTTTTCGCTTACTTTCTATTTCGTTTAGTAAATAAATATCAAATAAAGGTAATTTTACAGTTAGGTGGTCTAAAATAAAGTTATTTTTCGATTAAAAAAATGGAGAAGAGTGTAAAAACGCATATCAATATAATAATAGTAATAAATGATAATAATAAACATTATATTTATAGTTTATATATTTATAATACTAATAATATTTATTATTCATAAAAACAATTTATAACAACAATAATAATATTTATAACAAATATTTTAAGATGTCTTCACGAACGAGAGCGTAAAAAAATAATCTGGCCGCTTCAATGTAGCTTTATTTGATATTTGCTCTCTTTTTTACATATTCAAAACTTTTAAAATTCTAGTTCAATTTGTTATAGCGAATTTCTATAGAAATTATTATATTTTAATAAAAAAATTTAATAATTTTGTTATGTTATCAGTTTCAAAAGTAAATTAGAAAAGACATTTTTGATTTGTTGAGTAGTCTAAAGTTAAACACACCCAAGCACTGTATAATCAAAGAATTATAGAAAAAATGTTATTGTCAATCGCGATAAAAGAAATTATAATTCAAGTAGAAATTTTTTTAATCATTAATATTAAAAAAGAAATACCTGAGAACAAATTTTTTGGGACTCCAGTAACAGACTTTGTTGTAGGCTTCTTTGGTAATGCTGTAGTTTTAGGTTTTTTTATTGGTGGTTTTGAGCAAAATCCGCATGTTTTTTTGCAAATTGATAACATCGAGGCATAATAAATGCTTTGTTCATCGCAATAACCGGCAATTTTCCATTTAGCACAATGCAAACCTTGAGATCCCGTTTGATCAGAACAACTTTCTTTTTCTTTACAAATTCCGCATGTTTTCTTACAGTTACTATACATATAAAGATTGTATCTTCCGTGTTGTATGCATAATTGCTGGTAACTTGTGCAATAGAACTGAGTTTGAATATCCACACATTCTGAAAATAAAAATTTAGTTTCACATTCTGTTTTGAAGCTTCATTATTCAGTATCCTGAAGACCAAGAACAAAAGTTTTGACATGGGTACATTTTTTGTCACATGTAGAACAATAATAACCCCAGGAGTTTTCACCAATTTTATTTTTTTATTAGTTATTTTTGTTTAAAAAAAAAGCACAAGTATGCTATTATAGGCAACTACTGCTCCTATGATGGTATAGGGGAGGATAAGGATGATTAGCATCGAAGGTAACTTGAGCATATCATTTAACCTTAGAGTCTTCCTTCAGAAATACCAGAAACTACACGTAATCATTCTAATTTACCTTTCCATGCTACACAACAGCAGTGTTAAATTTCGCGCATGCGTATAAGAGATATTGCGTTTTATGTGTTTTTTGAACCAAAACATTTTTAGTGAAGAATAAATTCCTCTTTATTTCACTAACAAATATGTTGTTTTTATGAATAAAAAAGATTTTCCCAACTTGTCAATATTGCAACACACCTAACTCGTCAGTATGCCATAATAGGAAGAAGTCATCATTTTTATTTAAATAAGTTTTGTCTGCCTTGTTCAAAAGATAAAGTTAAAATAAGTATTCCACTAAATGCACTAAACTCGGAAATAAAATAAATGAAAATTTCATTTTTACAAAGTTAATAAAAAAATCACAATTTTAAATATATAAAGGGATTAAAAATACAACAGCGCATCCCAAAATCTATTTTTGTTGATTATAAAAGCAATATTTGTGCATAAGGGACGTGTTTTTATTAAAACTAATATAAAGACAGTATAAACATGTAGGTTCAATTACTTTTTTGCCATAACCAATATTTATGAAAATATGACCGGTATGCCAACACAGGCGCTATGCCATCATAGGCGCCTTTCCCCTAAATAAATAATAAAATTAGTGAAATTTAGCGAAAAAAAAAATTCTGTACCAATCAAAATTCAACAATCTATTTCATTATCAAGCAAATTCTTTACGCACAAATGGCCCTAGGTACAAGAAAACTATATAGCCCTAGGTACAAGAAAAGATAGCCTCATAAAAAATTTCATCTATTAATGAACAACGATTGAGAGGAAACTTATTGAACATCGCATTTAATACTTAAGTAACAAACAATATAATATAAAAGAACTTATAGAAAAACATTTCCTCTAGGATTGTAAAACAATCTGACCAGCGGTTAAAACCTACTTTAGACTATCAAAAAGCGTTTTCAGACTTGATGTAGCAACACTCTATGAGAATTTAAATAAAATTAAAAAATAAACATTTTTATAACCTCCCCTTACTGAGAAGCATTATTAAAACTTTATAGTTTTAAATAAAGTGGGGTGGTCCAAGTACAAGGAGGCCTTGGTACTTGTACCAAGTACACAAACTTCCCCTACACCTTCAATAATGAATACAGTTAAGACTAATTAATTTAAAAAAACGTAACAGGATATTTGGGTAATCGTGCTAAGGTTTTTCAACTTTAATTTAGATAACTTAAAATGAGTTACCTTCTGAGGATTGTGTGTTACCCTTTGAACTCTGACTTTCGTTGGAATCAGTAACAAAAATCACCAACAAAATTGCAAATTTTAAAATATTTGACATGATTTTTATTTTAAAACGAATAAGTTGTTTGAGAAAAAAAATAAAAAGTTTAACATCACAGTCAAACTGTGCTAAATTTTGTTTCCGGATATTATAATCAGCTTACTTTATTTACCTTTTAAAGTTTTCTTTCCGATAAAAACTGATTTTTGAACTGGTTTAACATGTAAAAAAAATTTTTCCAGACAAAATATACTACACAGTGAATACACATCGCAGAGGCTGAATAGGTAAAAAACAGCAAAAAGTTACACATATATAGTTTTAGTTCTATCAATTTTAGGCTTAAAATGTTCAAGTAAACTACTTTTTGTTAAAAAATCAACACAAAAAAATTCATTAAAAAGTATCAAAATATATTTTTTAACATAAGATTTGTGAGAATAAAAAAGTTGTGACCATAAAATTTTTAAAATGTAATGTGTCTTTCAGGTTAATTTAACCTTCTTTGTAATCAATTTTCAAATCTCTATTAATGATTATTTTAAACTACTAAGTAAAGAATTTTTTTTTTTTTTATTTAAGTAAAAAATTTTTTCTTTTATGATTTTACTACTTAAAATATGTAACTTTGTATGCACAATTATGAAGTTATGTGCAATCCAATTAAATGTTCCGTTGTTGCTCGTTCAATTTTGGTTTAAATTGACTATTATCCTTAATTCAAAATGGCCCTCGAAGATTTGTTGCACTTTCTTGCTCCTTAAACCCTACGGGCATTTTTTTTAAAAGTTACGTTCTAAATGTATTTGAAATGTGTTTTAAACATCTTTTAAACATTCTAACGTAAAAAACGTTTTAAAAACGTTTAAAAGACATTTAGAACGTAACTTTTAAAAACAAATGTCCGTTGGAAAGAGATATTTTAGATAAAGTAACGCATATTTTTGTATACAGCGTTTTTTTTTTTTTACAGAGGTTTTAAAAAAGATACACATTTTTATTTAAAAATTATCGGCAAAAAAAAAAAAAATATAGTAAAAAAAACTCTAAAAAGTATAAAAATAAACTCACCAATAAATTTAAAAAAATTAATTTTGAAATCTCTGTGAAAAAACGCTACTTTTAAGACCCAGGTTGTCATACTTTTGAAGAGGTTTTTTTTTTGACAATATTAGGAATTTTACCCCAAATATTTGAGATTTAAACCCTAAAATTTTAAAAACTTGACGCGATAAAAGAAAAAGGATTGCATATTCGAAATTAGAATGAGTAATACTATTAGAAAAACATATTGTATGCTTTCACATTTTTCACACAAAATTCACATTAAGTTTAATCCTAATTTTTGAGTTTGAAATAAAAAACAAAAGACTTGCTTTTTATTTCAAACTAAGTGAAATTCTTGTTGAATTTATGAAAACTTCTTATATAACTCCTGATGATAAATTAAATGAGCTAAAAGGATTATTAGATATAATTGTTTCCTTCTTTTTTTTCAAAGCAATTTGGTTTGACTAGTACTCAAAATTCTAAGGAAGTTATAGCTTCAACAAAATAATTCAAAATGTAAGGTTTGCACCACATAGGAAAAATGTCACGACTTAACACTATGAGAGATTAGATCCACTATTTTTTTATCAGATCCACTATGTTTTTATTAGATCGGATCCCTATAGATCAAAAATTTCTTTTGCAAAGCATATTAAACATCAAGGGAATTGTCAACAACTGAATCTGTTAGTATCTTAAAATGTCAAAATTGTTTGATGTTTAGCTTTTTTTTTTTTTGCTTGATTAAAGAGTTTTACGCGAGCCAGTATCCACGTTTGACGCGCAGAATTACACGTTCGTATGTTTGTTGATTTAACAAAAATATACTTTGTTCATAAAACCAAAATTTGTAAATATTGTGGCTACAGTTGTTTTAGTTCTCTAAAACGCGTTTAAACGCATAAAGGCGCGTTTTACGGGTGTTTCTGCATGCGTTCAAAAAAAAAAAAATTTCAGTTCCATATTTCTAAATAAAAAAACTAAATACTAAAACTTCTCTCTAAATAAAAAAACTAAATACTAAAACGCTCGCTAAAATAAAATAACACAGTAAAAAAAAAAAGCAATTATATTTAGGACACAATTTTAGAATAGTTTATTCTCAACTTAATATAGTGAACTTTTTAGTTTAGATAGTTTGATATAGTTAAATAATTACTATATTATAATAACTATATTATAATACAACATATAATAATAACATTAATTAATATATCTTAAACCATTAGTTAATTAATACTTAATTTAGTTAAATAATCAATTAATGTTTTTTATTTATTAGGCATTATTGCACAAAATTCTTTTTTATATTATTTATATAAGTTTATATATTCTATAGTAGTTATATATGTTATAATATGTTACATATATATTATATATGTTATAATATTTTATATATGTTATAATATACTGTATATTTTATAATATCCTTATTTTAAATAAGAATTTTACAAAAATTCAATTTACAGATCATATAAATTTTATTTTTATGACTTATGTAAAAAATTTCAAGAAGTTTTAATAATGTTGTTGCAGAACATTGTGGGATAACGTGATTTCCCGCTACCCCATTAATTTTGCTTTTATATCCAAAATAGATATTTCAATTTTTATTCTGGATATAAAAGAAAATAAAGCCATAAAAATTGAGGAATAGTTTTAGAGTCAAACTTTCTAAAACGCTTCGTCACAACTCATCTGCATCAGTAGGAGAAAGTTTAAACTTTACAAAATTTCGTTTTAAAATTAATTGCTAACACACGTTATTTATTTTTTAAAAACTATTTTTTGGTTATCTTTTACGAAAATACTTAAATCGGCTCAGTTTACTCATCATTATAAAGTCTTTTTTGATAATTATTTGTTGATGCAATAAAACAAGTAAAATTGTGATTCAATCTTCATTCCTGGTCAGTCCTTTACTAGATTTATATAACTTATTGCAGTGCGGATGCAAACGCAGTCTTTAATTACTTTGTCTATAGTAATTTCAGATGCATCGCTTTCTGATTCCTAGTTAAAATTGTTATAATTTTTTAAATTATTATTAATTATTTTTCTTATACCGTTACCCAGTGGTAAAAAAGACATCTTTAGACGAATAAAAGGCGTCTTTTTTATGACTTGTTATGTCTTTTCATAATCAGCCTAAATAAAGACGTGGAAAAACGTCTTTTAAAAAGACGTCTTCAAAAAAGAGGTCAAAAAGACTGGTTGTTAAAAATTGGTTGTTAATAAGGAAATCATTATTTGTTTAAGAAAATTAAAAATAATTATTGCCAATAAAACCTAACAAAGATGGGTTTTAACCAAGGCCTTCTCTATAAGAAGGCCTCGACACCGTGCGGGAAATTTTTTGACTAAAGGCCGATAAAAAAAAAAAAAAAATGGCGGACCGGTAAAAGTTATATAGCTTTGCTAAAATTTAACACATACAAATAGTTCACAGTCTGTTTAAAAAAAAATCTTAATTTCTTATTGCAAAAATAATTTATTGAGGTTAATTAATAACTTCTTTTTTTTCTTTTCAATCGGATCCGAAGAAAACCAACCTAAAATTACATATTCGTTTCCAGTTGATAAAAGATAGCAAGATAAATCAATAAGGCCACGACAGGTATGTGAAAGTGCATTGCTTGTATCTTTTGTAAGCTGGCGAATTTGTTTACCAGATGTTGGTTTCATATTTTTTGCCATTGTTGCAATAGCAAGCAATTTTTTCAACTAAACGTCATCTGAAGATCTAATTACATTACGGGACTCATCCCTGAATCTAAGATTAGCACCAGGACATTTAACATTCACTATTTTCCAAAAATCTATAATCAACTCCAAAAAAATAATAGTTTTTAATAATTGGCTTTTTTTCAAGTGTATATAAGTTAACTAAATCTCTCCAATTTGCAATGTAAGATATTTCATTATAAATAAACTGCAACTGACCTAACTTTTCTGTCAGCCAATTATTTCTAATGCACTTTAAAAGATGGACATAGTCATATAAAACATAAGTTCCATTTTGACATAACCAAGGTTTTCCATCTACTGTTTTGAATTTAGAAAAAAAGCTTTGGTTAACGTTATTACCATCAGTAATAATTGCAACTACTTTGCCATTACATATAGAACTTTCTATGGTGTCTACAATTAACTTGCATTGATCTAGTTGGAAATCTGATGTTAGATTAGTAACTGGTAAAACTCTTGCTAAAAATTCAGGACCACCATAAAGACTTTTGATCATAAATCAAAGTACAGTAATAGCTAATTTCTCTGGATTATTAACAGCTTTTCCAAAAATATTTCCACTTTGATATAATAAAGCAGCTTTGACATAAACTTCATCTATCAATAAAACACAATTTCTTTTTTTCCTCAAGGTTTAATAGCACAAAACTTAAAAAAACCAAATCGTCTTGAGAATTTATTTTTGAAGTTATACAAGTTAAAGTTCGAATACTTGGCAACTGATAATCACAACACAATTGATTGTAAGTGGAACAACTTGTTGCAAAATATTCAAAAGCCCTGGTTATTATATCAGGTGAATATACAGTTAACAGAATGATCTCCCATTATATTTAGATGCTGAAATAATACTTGGGTTTTATGATCCTCATCTTTAACTTTTAGATATCTAAGAGCTTCATTTAATGCTGACTTTGTATTAAATGAAGTTATTCTATTTTTCGAAAGAGGTTTAACAGTACATTTTGAACCATAATGAAATGCTTTATACATTAAACTTTGATTAATTATCAGCAAAAATAGTGGAACCCCGCAATTAAAAACTTTAGAATGAATAAAAATAGAATTATTTTAATTGTAAGTAACTATATCATTTTCAGTAGATAAATATTTTTCAATATCTTCAAACTTTAAATTATCAATTATTCTATAATCTTCTAATTCATCTTTTTCGATACCTCTTTTTGAAGAAGAAGATAAAGTTTTTCTCATTTTTGGTGGTGGAGAGGGTAGACAACTTTTAGATATATTTGGAAACACTGATGGAGGATTAATTGGTCTCAATTTACCACGATATAAAGTAAACTCGGCATCTTCTGCCCAATGCAATTTACAAACAACGCTATATTTTGTTAAAGTCCAGTGTGAGCGAGGAATACTCATAAACCAGTTGTTTTTTTCAGATATTTCACGAGGAAATTTGTATACAGATATTTTACAATCTGAAGACTTATAATTTGAGTAACAATTTGGTACGCAGCATTTTAAAGGCATCATAAACTATTTATTTTAAATTTCTTTGAAAGCAGCTACAGCTTTTACAACTTTAAACAGGTTTTTTAAAACCGGCCTTCAGTCAAAAAATTTCCCTCACGGTGTCAAAGTTTTAACCCACAGTATCGTAATTACGATATCTTTGGTTACGTTTTTTGGCCCGTTTTTTGTTTACAAAAAACTTTTATATAACTTTTTTTATGTTAAAACGTTTTTGCATAGGAAATTTAATTAAAAATTAACTTTTTTTGGTAAGCGGGTTTATTCAATAATTTATATAATAAAGTAATATATTATGTAAAATATTCATAATATAAATGCATATATATATATATATATATATATATATATATATATATATATATATATATATATATATATATATATATATATATATATATATATATATATATATACATATATATATATATATATATATATATATATATATATATATATATATATATATATATATATATATATATATATATATATATATATATTAGGGTGATTCAGATTGTAATAGAAAAAAAAAAAGTCACAAAAAACATTCTCCTCAAGGTTGCCTGTGTTCCTTTATCACCTAGGATCATGTCTACCAAAAATTAGACTAAAAGAAGGAATTTTAGGGGTTGCCATGTTTTATAAGATGAATTAACCATAGGTAAAATTTTGTGATTTTCTCAAATTTCGCAAATTTGTTTTTTCATTGTTTATTTATTTATAATTTAGAAATTGATAATATGGCAACCACTAGATCTTCTGCTGAGGTGTGGCTTGTTGGTAAACCTACACAAACTCTGTCGACTGCCAGACTTCCTTCAAGAGGGGATGTTCTTCGGAGGTTGCTCTTCCATCATATAGAAGAGAAACAAGAAGTGAAAAAAAGTATTCGGGCAACAATTGAAGCAGTTCTTGTTAAATGGGAGAGAGGAAAAATTCCAACTCAAAGAATTGACAATGCGGAAAGAAAGTTAAAAAAACTTTATGACGAATATCTGCTGCTGAAAAAACACCGAGGATCAAAATTGGACAGCTGTCAAATGAAAGAAGGAATTTTCCACGCTGACCTTGAAGAACTTTTTGATATTTCAACCAAGAATGCATCAGAAGTTATGAAAAACGATGAAGATAAAGCATTTTTACGTCAGCAGCAAGAAGATCCATTAAGTTGTAGTATGGCAGGAATTGATCGGAATTTAACAGCTAGGGAGGCACGGAAACGAGTCCGAGAAACTAAAATGGAATTGAGGCGTCAAAGAAGTCAAGCGGAACTGATGGAAAAAACAGAACTCATTTCTTCTTCATCAGCAGTTGACATTGTGAGTGAAAGTAGCTCTAGTTCCTCGGATGATGATGAATATCAGACTCCTTCCGCTTCCAGCACACTGAGCACAAGTGGTTCAACGAAAAAGAAGATGAAAGTTCTAACAAACAATGTTGTATCATCTCTTGATCGTGTTAATATTTCTGATCGCCGTGCACTCTTCGTGGTTGGAACAGTGTCTCAGGCTCTTGGTCACTCGGTAAAAGATTTATCATTGTCGTACAGCACAATCCGCAGAAAAAGGTGATCTGTTCGTGAAGCGGTGACTACAGCTGACAAGGTTGATTTCTCTCCTGATGATCCACTTCTTCTGCATTGGGATGGAAAGCTCTTACCTGATATCACTGGTGGTCAAAAAAAAAAGGATAGAATTGCCATCCTTGTGACTGGTGGTGGGGTGGAAAAATTGCTGGGCGTTCCAAAGATTGATCGAGGTACAGGTGAGCAACAGGCTGATGCTTGCATGAAGGCTCTTAAAGACTGGAAATTGAAAGAACTTGTTCGGGGACTGGTTTTTGACACTACTTCATCTAACACTGGGTTGAACATTGGTGCCTGCACAATAATGGAGCAGAATCTTGACCGTAATCTTATATGGATAGCATGCAGGCACCATATGTTTGAAGTCATGCTTTCCACCATTTTCACGACTGCATTTGGAACCAGTGGAGGACCTGAAGTTGGAATTTTTAACCGTTTCCAGAAACAATGGCCAGCAATCAACAAGGAGGTGTTCACTATAGGGAATAAAGAATTTTACAACTGCGATTTTTTTCTCAAACTCCGTGAAGAAATGGTAGTATATTATAGTGAAGCAATTAAAGGTCAACAACCCAGGGATGATTACTTAGAACTCTTGAATTTGTGCCTTATTTTTCTTGGAGGATCAACTACAACATCGGAGTTCAAAGTGAAGTTTCGGGCTCCAGGTGCAACACACAATGCACGTTGGATGGCAAAAGCTATATATTGTATAAAGATATATTTGTTTCAGGATCAATTTGTTATTACTGCAAAGGAAAAGAAAGGAATAACAGATATAAGTCTTTTTGTGGCATTTGTATACGGACAGTTTTGGAATGAAGCTCCTTTAGCTGAACGAGCACTATTCAATGATGCCAAGCTTCTTCAACGGATTCAAGAATATCCAAATCGTACAATTGCAATTAATGCAGCAAAAGCTTTTCATCGCCACCTCTGGTATTTTTCTGAACATCTAATAGGATTGGCTTTCTTCGATTCCCGTGTCGACAACAACACCAAGAGAGACATGGCAAACAACCTGAAACAACAGCCAAGGCAGAAATCTCTCAAAAGACTTGATGCTGCCACATTCGATTATCACAGCCCATTGCCTTCCTTCGTCACACAACGCACCGCAGAACTTTTTGATCTAATTTTGAAAAATGGAAAAGAAAAAGTTGAATCATTTTTAATGAAAGAATCTTCAGAGTGGGAAATGGATTCAACATATCTTGAAATGAAGCACAAGGTTGGTCAAATGAAAGTCGTCAACGATTGCGCGGAACGAGGCATAGCACTTACATCCTTTAACTCAAGCGTTACGAAAGATGAAAACCAAAAGCAGTTTCTTCTTAGATTGGTTGATCTTCACCGGAAAGAATTTCCAGTTGCATCAAAGTCTACCCTGATGAAGATGACTGTTGAATGATGAAGATGATTGATTTATTATTGCCTAGTGCAATTACATAGTAGTACTATAGTATTGATTTTTTTAACATTGAACATCCACAATCCACCACATAATAATAAGAAATTGATAATAAATAATTCAGTAATATAATATAAAAAATGTAAAAATAAAAAATATTTTTTTTACTTTTTGTAACCTTATACCAAAATGTGACAAAACATGGCAACCCCTAAATATCATCCGATTTGATTCAAATTTTGGCCAATAACTACTATTGTCATATAGAACAAGGGCAAGCTTGAGGACAACTAAAGTTTTGAACCTACAAATTTTGCATCACCCTAATATATATATATATATATATATATATATATATATATATATATATATATATATATATATATATATATATATATATATATAAATATATGTATATATATATATATAATATTAATATACATATATATAATATTAATACGCTGATGATAGTAAAATAATAAATATTATAAAAAATCCTAATGATTCAATAAGCCTTCAAAATGATATAAATAATATAATGGCATGGTCATCTATTTGGCTCACAAAATTTAATTATGAAAAATGCAAAGTTATGCATACTGGGAAAAAAAAACCAAATGCTACATTTATAATGACTGATATTGATTGCATTACAATTATACATTGTGTAACACAAAAGCTGAATGTGATTTGGGTATAATGTTTCAATCCGATTTAAAATGGCACTCACAAGTTGATTCAGCAACCAGCAAAGCAAATAGAATGTTAGGTACCATAAAGAGAAGCTTTAAATATTTAGATGTAAACATTGGTAAAAATGCTCTATACAACGTTCATACGTCCACATCTTGAGTTTGCGGTCCAGGCATAGTCTCCATTTTTAAAACAAGACATTGACAAGATTGAGAAAATCCAAAAAAGAGCAACCAAACTAGCACCTACAATTAGGAAATTATCATATGAGGCTAGGTTGAATATTATGCAATTAACGTCACTGGAAGAACGTAGACTACGTGGAGATCTGATTCAACAATATAAAATTCAGCATGGCCACGATAAAATAAATTGGGTTGCTAACGATTGTGGAAATGCATTGGAGGAGGGTCCATGTCTGCGACAACACAAATTCAAAATGAGGAAGCCTTTTAGCAGAAATACCTTCAGGTATCATTTTTTCCAAAATAGAGTTGTAAATGCGTGGAACAGCTTACCATCTGAAATAATAGAAGCTACTTCAATAAATAACTTCAAAAACAAACTAGACAGAGCTGGATTTTGCAGAAACTATTTGTTAAAACACAAACAAAAGGCAAAATGAGCTGTTACAGTGCAATATCTTATGTTATTGCACTTCGCAACTGTTTAAAACAGTTGTTACAGTTATACCTTATTATTATTATTATTATATATATATATATATATATATATATATATATATATATATATATATATATATATATATATATATATATATATATATATATATATATATATATATATATATATATATATATATATATATATATATATATATTTGCAGCTGTTTAGCTAAAAAATGTTAATCGGAAAAAGCAAAAGTGGATGGCGTGGTGCCAGTAAGATGGTATCGATATGATATAGTTTCAATTAAGTTAGTCGCAGGTAATTGTTTTAAAAAGTTTTACCGTTTATTTTTAGACTAATTTTTTAATGTATTGTGCTTGAAGAGCGTTGTTTATTACATATTAAATTAAAATCTTTATTTTCAGACGAAAAATAAAACCTGTAAACAATTTCTCTCTATATTAACTTATTCAAGTGCCAGTGAAACAAACAATAGAAAAGAGGAAGCATTTAGTAGGCTTGCAATTTTCTTTTTACATATTTTTAAATGATCTGAATAATTTTGTTGTTTTTATTTAGTTGAATGATAAATTTGTTTATACATAAGATTGGCTCTTTAATTTTTATGTTAAAGTTGTTATTTCCTTGTTAACTGTTAACTGTTGTCTGTCATTAACAAAGTTCTTGTTAACTGTTGTCTTTCATTAACAAAGCAAGTAAAAAGTTGTATATAATGACAACAGATTTATCTTTAGAACTGTTTTCAAAACTTTTGGTTTGAATACAAAAGACCAAGTGAAAATGATACTGGAAAGGTACACTTTCTTATAACTAAACATCATTGCAGCTTTCTAGTCTTCATTTTTGTTTATGTGTATTTCATCTGTGTTGCTAATGATATTGCCAGTTTTTATGATTTTATGTTGTTAGGTAAAGCATCCTTATGTTTCAGGCTAAAATAGAGCTTTGATTAATACTTTTATCCAGTTTAAATAAATAACAACTCTCAAGGTGTATTAGCTCAATTATCTTTTTGATAGCCTTTAGTCAATAACGGATTTTTAAATTGTTATGAATCTGCAACACTTAATTTCAGGGAAATTCAATTAAAAAGTCATGTCATAGAAGACAGAAAAATATCAGTATCTGTTTTCAATAACTTGGCTTTCATAGCAAATCTGAGAGGTGCAAATGTTTAGCTTAATTTAAGTACTACATAATAAAATACATCGTTGTATAGTCATTTTGATGGTCGTAAATTTCTTTAGCACACTCATTTTTATTTATTTTTAGACTGTTTACTGTTTGACTCCTGTCCCAATCCTACCTAGTTGGTTCAAAAAGAAAGGACCACGTTGAAAACATGATGGGGTTAAAAGGAGCAGCCCTTTTTGAATTAATAGTCGGTAAGTCAAATGTGTTCCACTCTGCTAATCAAGTTTGATTTGCTTTTTTGTATTACATTCAAGCAATAGACTGTTTTTTTATGTTCACTCGTTTTTTAGATATAAATAATATAATGGCATGGTCATCTATTTGCAATTACAATTATACATTGGGTAACACAAAAGCTGAACGTGATTTGGGTATAATGTTTCAATCCGATTTAAAATGGCACTCACAAGTTGATTCAGCAACCAGCAAAGCAAACAGAATGTTAGGTACCATAAAGAGAAGCTTTAAATATTTAGATGTAAACATTGGTAAAAATGCTCTATACAACGTAACCAGCTAGAAGTCGTAACCAGCTCGTATGAAAGGATTTCTCGACGTAAAATAGTTAATTTTTTTCAACAACTCCAAGAAACAGAGCTCGCTCAAAAAACAGAAAAGAAAGAAAGAGAAAGATGAAAAAATAATCTGTTGAACAATACTGTTGTTTTATTTATAATTTATTCTCCTATGTTTAAACATATAAAAGATGTAGAAAAAGCATCCTCTTTTATATTGACATCTAAAAGAGGTTTTTTTCTCGGCATCGGAAAGAGCTTTTTGTCATACTTTGTATGAAGAGCTATTATCATTTTCATTTAATAAAAACAGCTTTTCATATATGAAAAGTAGGAATACTATAGTGTATAGAATACTATAGTATACTAATAAGTATGACAAAAAAGTTGTTCCGACCCCGAGCAAAAAACACTTTTTTAGAAGTGCATAATTAATAAACAAACACGTCTTAAAGACGCATTTTTTATTTCTTTTCATAACAAGATTAAGACAAATAAGATGCCTTTTCGATGTCGAAAAAAGATGTCTTTTAAATTTGCATATTCGACTAAAAAACGGCGTCTTAAAGACGCATTTTAATATATTTTCATGACAAGATTAAGATAAAAAAAGACGTCTTTTCGATCTCGAAAAAATATGTCTTTTAGATTTGCATAATCGATTAAAAAAAGACGTTTTAAAGACATCGTAAATAAGACTTTTAAAGACGCCTTTAGAACGTCTTTTTTCCCACTGGGTATTAAGAAACCTACTTATAATTACAAAAATAATTTATATTAAAGCTCTGTAAAACTGTTTAAGTTTTCGTTATATTAACGAAATGGTTGCGGGTAACTATTTTGGTCTTTACCATAAGGGATCGTCCATAGAGTACGTACGCTCGGAGGAGAAGAGGGGTCTGCAAATGGCGTATATGAGGTGGGAGGAGAGGGCAGTAGGTCAAATATAAATGTATGGAGACACTAAATTAAAAAAATATCAAAAAATGTTGAATTCGTAGGTTAAAAGCGTAGATACTTTTAGGGAGATAGAGGGTATTCAAAAAAGAGTATGGCAAAATGCGGAGGAGGAGGGAGTTGACGAAAAAAAGCATGCACACTTTATGGACGACCCCTAATAGTATAGAAATGATTCGGGAGCCTGTGTTGTCATATTAAATCCGTTGTCGCAAGTAATAGATAGTTATAAATTTGCCCTTACGTTCGTGTAGCTGAATAGATGTAACTAGGGTTGTAAAACCTTTTCAAATTTTTTTGAAACTCAAATCTAAAATTTTTGATTGCGAAAAAATTATACTTCTATCATAAAATTATTCACTCTAATTGTGTGACAGGCATGGAGTACAGCAACGCACAGTAGGCCTGGTGGTAGGCAAAAGTAAAAAAAATACACCATCAAAAATTACATTATTATATACCATTTTATAGCTTAAACATTCAACTTTTCTAAAATGTATATATTTGTGTATAAATATCATGACGTATGTTTCTAAGCTGTAGAATAAAAAGCTTATTTTTTTAAAAAAAACATTTTTTATAAATTTTTTTTTTTTTTAAATTTGATAGTATTTTTTATGTTACTAATGAGCATGGAATAGATGTTAACATTAAAACCAATCTTTTTATTGCACAATTTAATAAAATCATTAACTTTCAAATGAGCTATTACAATACTATTTTGCATGTAAGTTATGTCAAATATAATGGTTTCAAATGACAGGGTATTTGAAGTACTTTTTTTAGTCAAAATTTCGTTTATATAGTTGAATACTTTTGCGGTCCAAAGCGTTCAAGTAATTTGAAACTTGAAATACATTTTTTAATATGTATATTATCATATAAATTTATTTTATAATCCGCGGATGTCCGCCTGGTTTTTAAAACGAATTAACCGGTATTAAACTACCCGGTAAAAAAAAACGCGTTAACCGGTAAAAAAAAAAAAGATAGCAAGACGTTTTTAAAACGTCTTAAAATTTACGACGTATTTTATACGTCTTTAACGCGTCTTTTACCCATGAGTAACGACTAGCTAGTTGCTAGCTTATCTCCCACCGGGTAAATGATGTATCCGATTTTATGTTGCGAAAACATTATATGTATTTTATTCTAAACGGTTATGTAATAATTGGGTTTTAGCAAGACTAAATTAGTGTTACAAACTTGTTTTATTAATTATGCATTCTAAAATACCTATTTTTAAAAATTTGTAAATAATATTTATATTTTTATATAGTTAAAACATGAAAAGTATTGATATTTATTCATACATAATACAAAAAAACCTGAAGTTAGCTAGTCCTAATATTTTACATACACAAAAAGGTTAAAACTCAGGGTTTCTTTTATGTGGATTATGTAGTAGTTTCATGAAATATAGAATAGAGCCTTGAATCTGCATAAAAATACTTAAAATTAGTAATTGGGAATGTGTTGAAATTTTAAATGCATAAAATAATTTTTAATCAGACTGCCACATTAACAATATTCTAGTTATAACATTGATGCTTGAAGAAAAGTTAAGCTGGTAACTATGCAAAATGATACGTCAGGCATTTTAGGTGTAACTATCAACCAAATAAAAAATTTATAGTACCACTACATTTAACTGTTTTTAGGTTTACTTATATATTTATTAGTTAATAAAAAGTAATATATTAAATTAAAAATATATATATTGTTCTTCTTTTATGCAGTGAAGCATTAACACTATTATTTAGGCTGTCGGATGTCTCACAAAAACTTTCTTCCATTGGGCGTGTAGAAAACTGTTTTTATTTTGTTGTCGTTATATCCAAGATCATGTACAATAAGATTGTTTTGTTTTGATCTATAGCACGATGATGGTCAATGTAATTCTCAATCGTCTTGACAAAATCTTTCTGACGAGACGCCATTTTTTTACAGGGACTTACATAATTATTTTTTATTTAGTCGTTTGTAACAATTTTACAATGTTCTTGTTTTATAAGTTTCATCAATCAAAGCATAAATATAATAGAAAAACGACGCACAGCAAAATTAAAGATTCTAGGTTTAGAATTTTTGTTCTTATTTTAAGAAGTTGATTTTTATTTTAAAATTCCATTCTTATTTAAGGATATTTTAATAAAAAACATTGTTTCTTATATATATATATATATATATATATATATATATATATATATATATATATATATATATATATATATATATATATATATATATATATATATATATATATTATATATATATATATATATATATCAGTGACAGATCCAGAAACTTTCAGATTTTGGTGGTGAGGAGGGGGGTGGGGCTTGATGCGTCCCTTATCGCCCCTGGATCCGTCACTGATGTATATATATATATATATATATATATATATATATATATATATATATATATATATATATATATATATATATATATATATATATATATATATATATATATATATATATATATATATATATATCTATATATATATATATATATATATATATATATATATATATATATATATATATATATATATATATATATATATATATATATATATTATTTTTTTATTTTTTTTGAACATCTCTGCTTCCAATAAAGCGGCAAGCAACTACTAATTAGAGTTGGAAGTAACTGGAAGAGAAAAGATGAAGATTGTAGAGCAAGATAACGATTGACAGACGACTTAAAAGATTACAAATTATATGAATCAGGAAAGCAAGATGAAGGAAGGGAACTCCAAAGAACTGATGTTAGAGTGAAAAAACTAAAGGAATAAGAGTTTTTTGAGCACTTTGGAACAGCCACAGGATGAGACTTAATTGAAGTAACGAGTAACTCGAGAATGATTTTTAGTAGATAACACAAGAGATGCTAGCTCTTTAGAGCAGTGTCCATTATAGTATTTGAAAAAAAGAGAAGCGACATTACGACGATGTGATAATGGTTGGAGGTTGGCTGCAAGAGTAGGTCCAACTGTGTTTACATATATATATATATATATATATATATATATATATATATATATATATATATATATATATATATATATATATATATTATATATATATATATATATATATATATATATATATATATATATATATATATATATATATATATATATATATATATATATATATATATATATATATATATATCATGGCTGTAGACAACTTATATAACGGGGGGGGGGGCGGGCTAGAAAGAGTAGGGGGTGCAAATAACATGTCACTTGACAATAAAATTCATCGGAAATCTGTAGTAATGCCTATATGCACTACAATAACATTTTTAAATGTGATATATTGTAGGTTTTTGAGGTAATTTATTATTTAAAAATGTTTTTAATAGTATAAAGTAAAACTCGGCCATAAAATATAATATTTTCAAATGCGTACGTGATTCGGAAATCAATATATAGATCAGAAACGGAAAACAAATTTTGGGTACTTTTGCAAACTTCAAGTTTTATATGGTATAAGAATTTTATATAACATTACAGCAATTTTTTTTTTTTTTTTCAAAATTGTCTAAATACAAATTTTTTTACCTTCACTTCGGTTACAAAAATCATTAGCTATGTTATTTTTTTTCAAAATTGTCCAAATATAGTTTTTCTACCTTTACTTCGGCTACAAAAATCATTGGCTATATGTTAAGTTCATCAGTTTTTTGTGTGTGTATATTTAGCAGCACACACCAGTTTAACCGTGCTTGGTTCATGGTGCTTCTTAACCAAGTTTTGATTCTTCGTAGTGTGCTGAAAGCTCACTCGCTAGTAGCGTTTGTTGCTGGTATCAGAAGGATAAGTTTTATCAACTTCCTGATTTCTGATAATGATTCCTTTTCAACTTCAATTGCTTCTCTGTAAAACACAAAAAATTATGTGTTTAAATGCTTATTTGTATTAGCATACAAATAAGCATTTTAGTATGTTAGTCAATTTGAAATACACTGCAGTCATAATTATTAAATAAATAACAAGTTATTTAAGATTTTTATTTTTAGTTGAATAAGACAATTTTGTTTCATAATTTTATAAAAATAAAATATTTTAAAGAAAATTTCTTTTCATAAATGTTAAACTTGTAATATTGTGTTTTTTTAATGTTTATTTATGCCTAAGATATAAATATTCAAAGTTTAAGTGACCGAACTTCATAGTTTAAGTGACCGAACTTCAAAGTTTGTGACCGTACTAAGACCTAATTTGGGCGATTTTACGGTATTTATGTATATAATTATATCATTGGTTTGGGGTAATATTATAATTATTATTATTATTATTACTATTTGATTTATTTAACACGCAATGTAATTTACAAAGTAAAAAGAAAAATAAGAAATTTATTTCTGGTGATTTTCACTTGAGAATTTTTTCTTCCAGAATTTGTTCAAAATTTCTCTTTGCTCTTTTGCATTTAAGCACTCTATTGCATACTTAAAAGTAATGCAATGATTTTAAACCCTTTTTTTCCCAATGTTGACATTTCGCGACGTTAGAATTCTCTTGTTCTATCTCCATTTTCTGAAAAAATTGAGTTAATGATAGTGTTGTGTTCCTCAAAATAATGTCTTTCTACTGAATTGAAACCTAAGTTATAAGTAAAAAAGTTGCGGAAAAAACGTAAGTTATAAAAAAAAAATTTATACGCCGTCTCCTAAAGTTTTTATTTTTTAAATCGTTTTATCTCAAAACTAAAAAATGTGGAGATGGAACAAGATAATTCTAACGTCTAGATTTGGCAACACAAACTTTAAATTCAAAAATCAAACCCTTTTTTTTCTTTTTTTTCATTTTAAGTAATGATTAAGTTTTGCTACTTCTTACTAGATGGCAACTTGCACAATTTAAAAATAAACGCGCCGATTTGTTTTTTGAAAATATTGATTATAATTGTACTTCTTTTATTTTTTTTTTATTTCATAAATCGGAAAAGAAAGAGTTAAATAAAATTTTTAATCAAGTAAAGATTTTTAGACCGGAAAAGCAAAGTAGATTTATTTAACTCCTACTTTATTAGCAACTGTCGTTCTATCTCTCTTCTTTCGGTATTTTCAAAAAATTTAGAAAGAATAATTTCTAATAGAAAATTCAAACATCTCAACAAAAGTAACTTACTATATAACAAACAGCTTGGCTTTAAAAAAGGTAACTTAACAGAGCTATAATTCAGTTTGTGCATGAAATCTTGAAATCTTTTAAAAAATCACAGTACTTGTTAGGTATCTTCATTGACCTATCAAAATCTTTCGACACAGTAGATCATTATATTTTACTTTAAAAACTTAAATATTATGTAGTTAAAGGTACTGCTTTAAAAAGGTTTAGAAGCTACTTAAGAAAAAGAAAAAAATTTGTAATTAGTAACGAAGGTTATCAAAATAATTATCTTGATATCGTATGTGGTGTTCCTCAAGGTTCAATCGTCGGAGCTCTACTTTCCTTGATGTATAAAAATTATTTGAATGAAGCTTCTAACCTTGTAAGTATCATGTACGCAGATGATACCAATCTAGTCCTCTCAAGCAGTAATAATTATGAACTCTTTACCGCTATGAATAAAGAATTAAAACATATATTAAACTGCTTTAAATGTAGTAAGCTAAACTTTGTATAGACAAAATTGAAATAAAAAAAGATTCCGTTACAAGATTCTTAGTCGTTTAACTCAATAAAAACATCTCCTGGAATCAACACATTAATTATGTATCTACTAAAATTTTAAAAAACATTGGGATTCTATATAAAGCTCGTAACTACCTTAATAAAAGTTGCTTAAGCCAACTTTATTACTCATTTATCCACAGTTACATAAATTATGTTAACACTGCTAGGGGGAGTACTGTAGAAAGTAAGTTAAAAATTCTTTATCGTCGTCAAAAACATGCGATCCGCATAATTAACTACGCTGATCGTTTTACACATACAAAACCTATTTTTACTGAAATGAGATTATTAAATTTATTTGAACTTAATGTATTTAAAGTTTTATGTTTTTTATTTTTATAGTGAAATAATTAATCCCCTACCGCTTTTAATAATATTTTCAAACTCAAACCTAACAACAAATACGATATGAGAAACATAAATTTTTTAAATGAGTCGTTTTGTCACACAAAATTTAGTCAATTTTGCATTGCTTATCGTGGAACCCACCTATGGAATAATATTGTTCTGTGGAATTTCAATCAACCATTTTTTGATCTTCCTTTTATCTTTTCAAGCTCAATTTAAAAAATGTATTTTTTCAATTGATAATATACTCAAATACTTCTAATATTTTGAAAATTGTTATTTAACTTAGATTTTATTACTTTTTTATTTTAATTTTTACTTTATTTTTTAGTATGTTATACTTGTCTTTATTCTGCTTACTTGTATTTTATAAGGTTCTGACGACAAGATCTTGTGATCATCTTTCAGATCCAAGGTTTATGTTTAATCGTTAGCAGTTTATATATGTGCGCATCGATACATTTGTAAGTGTATATATGCTTATATTTATATAAGTGTATATATGCTTATATTTATATATGTGAGTGTTATTCTTATTTTAATTATGCTGATATTCGTATTTTTTTAATTGTAACAAAATAAATACGACATATAATTGTACAATGACATTTTAATGTAAACGAAATTAATTAAAAAAAAAATTTATGCTATAGAAATAGCAAGATATATTAGTTGATATAGCGAGATATATCAGTTGATATATTAGAAAGATATAGCGAGTAATATCAATTGTTAATGTGTTGAGTTAGACTACATCATAATAAAAAAAAAGAGCAATAAATTTTGCTCCAAACAGCATTAAAAACTCAGTTTTGAATTTTGTTCATAAAATCGACTTTTTTTTTTACTGTTGGAGGATGGGGTGGGGTAATATGGATAGAGTTTTAGATATATTTTTTTTAATATAACTTTTTTTTTTAGTTAATAGCCACCATAAAAACTTTTGTTATTTTTCTTAACATTAATAGTGTATAAAATAACTTCACAATAAGTAGAACATAAATACATTTTCAATAACTAACTTGCTAATCCTTTTTTAACAACACCTTTCATGAATCCATATTACTTCACTGGTGGGATAATACGGATACTAATATTATATTTGATATTTATATCACATTTATTGCCTTTCATGTATTTAAAAAGTTCAACTGTATTAGTTATGTCTAGCAGTTTTCTTTTTCTTACTGATACAGTCTTATTTTCAGCTTGATTCTTCTCTTTTTCTTGCAACCTTGCGACAACATCTTGTGCTGTTAAAATTTCGCGTTTTGGTGAACAGGACAGACAACACAGGTTTCGAATTTCTAATAAATTTCTTGAATAAAAGACGAAAGATTTTTGGGTGAAATAAAGAAATAGAAGAAATATATTTATTAGAATAGAATTAAATATTAAATAGAATAATTAGAATATATAGAATAAAAAAAAAATTAAATAGAATATATATATTATTAATATTAATATTAATAAAGAATACAAAAAAATCAAAATCTAAAAACTATTGGTTAGGCTAAAGGCAAAAATAAATTAATACGAGCATGAGTAGTTTAGTCATACTTCCATTTTTTGTAACCCCTCTGAGTCAGATCATGATAGTGTTACTTGGTGCGGCCCGCACTCTCCGCACCCCCTAGTGACGCCACTTGCTACTTCTAGCATTAAAAGTGCTTTTTATAAAACATTTGTTAAACTAAAACACTATTTAACTGGGAGATAAATATTCAGTCCATGACATTTTTGAATTTAAACTCTTGACCTTTAAATATATGTCTAAAAAAATTATTTAAAGCGTGATTCAGAATAAAATAAAAACAAATGCGTAACAACATATTTTAGGCGGAAGGCTTCTAAAATAATGGCAACTCTTGAAGAAGCAATAGAAAATGTCCGCCGATTAGAAAATTTAGCTTTATACAATGATGAGCAGCCAACAATTGAAGCCTCGCCGGCTTCCATTACTTACAACTTTGATTTTGACACAAACTTTTGTGATAAAGAAGCATTTATTACTGGGATCAGTCGGTATATGGAGGAAGCTGCTATACATCAACAGCTGGTAAATGTTTGCATCGATATCTTTAAATATTTTTATAACATATATGTGTATGTATATTATTGCAATATTTATAATCAGTAAGTGTAAAATTTTATTTTACTTAAAATAAAAAACCCGAAAAAAAATTATTTTGATTGTAATTATTTTAATGGTATTGTTATTGTTTCTAATCAATGAACCTGGTAACTATCTAGGCATATTTAGATTTTGATATTATTATCAATCCAAATTTTTTTTTTTTTTTGATATATATATTTTAATCCTGCCTGAATCCATATAAGAGTTTTTATTGTTAATATTCGTGTTATTTTCACAATTAACAACATTGATGCTTAACTAAAAATATTGTTACAGGAAAACTTAGCGTATTGTCTCATGCAAATTGGAAGTAGTCAGGCATTCTATTGTCTATCCGTGCATCTGTAAATGGAACAAGACCTTTATATGCATAGGAAACGACTTATTTATTTCTTTAATTGTCGTTACTGCAAATAACTACAACTATAAATACCTATATCTTCTATTCTTGATTTCAATTAGAATCATTTTTTATTTTTTTATTATATATAATGTTATGCTTCTAAATGATTTTGTTATCATTGTATAAAGCTAAATTTTCTAATCGGCGGACATTTTCTATTGCTTCTTCAAGAGTTGCCATTATTTTCTTCTTCTTCTTCTTCTTCTTCTTCTTCTTCTTCTTATTATTATTATTATTATTATTATTATTATTATTATTGTTAACCAGATTATTTACCTTGTAAGGTAAATAATCTGGTATATGTACTGCTATAATGCAATTCATTTATACTTTGTATATTTTATCATATTTATCTTATTTTAGGCTACCTGAATAAATTATATATATATATATATATATATATATATATATATATATATATATATATATATATATATATATATATATATATATATATATATATATATATATATATATATATATATATATATATATATATATATATATATGTATAAACATATGTATATATATATATATATAAATATAAATATATATATATATATATATATATATATATCTTTTTTTTTTTTTTTTTTTTTTGAGTGATAATGTCAAAATAGTTTGAAAAATATACAATAATTTTCAAAATGCTAGACTCTAACTAGAAATATTTGCATCTTCCGTGCATGATCATTTATGAACACGATTATTGTGAACTCTATGATACGTAGTGCAATCCCGTAACTTTCTGGAAATCTTTACTATACCTAATATTTTATTTTAAAAAAAAGTATACTGCTGAAACTTACATTTTCTGAGGAATTAAAGTTTATTTATCAAGTAACTACAAATTGTGTTTTTCTGTTCTGTTCTTGATTCTGCTTCAAACTTAATTTATTCTTTGATAACAATAATGTATATGATTTTTTGTTTACAAGTTATTTATATAGATTAGAATTAAGTAAGAGTAAATTGGAGTATTATTTTTATGAAAATAATTGACGAAACAATTATGAGTTTCTGTGGGTGATTTTTTGGAAATGCTCTGAACTGATTTGAAGGTATGTGTAATTGATTAGCTTCTATTTTTTTATTTACGGTTTTTTTCTCTCAAAGAATTACATCTATGTTTCTACACTTGTGTGTTTTTGTCGGTAAATTTGAAGTTCCACCACTGTTTATAGTAACTTGAAAAATCATGTATTTTATCTATACCTCTAATCAAAATTTTGAAGTATAGATTGGTAATGCTTACAAATGCTTTATTGATGTTTTGGTTCTGTACACAATTTGATGAGGTTCCTTCAGTTTCTTGATGTAAACTTGATGTAAAGATGTTGTAAGGATGTTATTAATGTTGGTGAAAAGAATTAGTCAATTTTCTTAATTTATACAACCTTTACTGGTGATATATTGGTATAAAAAAATTTATGTTGGTTATTATTCCATTCTTCATTATACCTAAAAATTATATCATACAATCTAGATATAAGAAGCCAAATGTTTTTAAAGAAAAATTATTTATGCAACAATTTAACAGTTTGAGAGATTAATAAAATGGCTTTTTATTACACAAAGTGACATTTTAAAGACAGAAGAATAGTGTTCTTTTGTGTAATTTTGTGCTGTGTGTATTAACCAAAATAATTGTAAACTAAAAATAAAAACTAAATTAACCAAAATAATTGTCTTTTTATACAGAATGGCATGCTGGAAACATAAGAACAATATGCTTTTATTTATATACTCAATGCAGTATATATATATATATATATATATATATATATATATATATATATATATATATATATATATATATATATATATATATATATATATAATAAAGTAAAATAATTGTCTTTTATACAGAATGACATGCTGGAAACAGGAGAACAATATGCTTGTATGTTATATACTTGGCGATGTTTATCAAGAGCAGTTCCTACAGTAAGATTTTTATTATTGCTTTATTAAATTGTTTTTTTTTTTTTAGAAAAAGTTAAATAAATATTATTTAATTTATAAACTAAACAAATAGTTACTGTTTAGTTTTTGATATTATTTTTATATATTCAATTAGAAAAACAAATAATTGATAGATTGTCTTTATTATTTTAAAAACATAATAAATATTTAAAACCTTAGGTTTGGATTCAAATATTTAATTTTTTTTATTATTTTAATTTTTTTATTATGATTCACTTCCAACAGTTGGGAGTTCACTAGAAAACAGTTACTACAAAACAAAGTTACTAAATAAACAAAGAATAGAGCAAGGAAACAGTTGACAGAAGACTTTAAAAGTTGAGCAGTAACCATAATGCAGGCCTTGTGATGAATAAAAACTGCGCGACGCATAAGCACGACATCATTAAATTCTTTTTATTTGCTTTTCATATTTATTGACATTAACTGCACCAATTTACTTAATTACCGCAAAACTACTTTAAATCATTAATGTAGAAATGTTATTATTTTAAAATGTTTTGGAATGTTTCGCTTTTTAAAATGTAAAAACATTTGTTTATTTTCTTGACGTTTGACACGTTTTGTCTATAGTAAATGAATAAAAAACATAAGTTTTTCAAATAATTATTTTTTCTTTTTAAAAAGTCAGAGAGTAATAAACTGGAAATTTTAATATTGTACGATTAAAAACTGTGCAATAGCTAATATTTTTACTAGCGATTTTATATAATATTTTATTTATTTATTTATTTATTTTTATTTATTTTCATAAAGCGGTTGATAAGCACAATCATTCGTATTATTAAAAAACTTTAACGAATGTTTTGAATAGATTTTTAATGTTTACAAGGAATTTTATTTTTGGTAAAGTAAAATAAAATGTTAGAATAAAAATCTTTTAGGTATAAAAGAAATATTTCAGCGAAAAAATTATTTTAAAAAATTATTATTAAAAATTATTTGAAAAACTATTGACGTTCTATTTTTTAGTAGCTGTTCTTGAGCACTCTTCGTTGAGTTTCGGTAATTTAACAAAAAAGCGATTGTTATTATTTAAGTAATTTTTTTCGAGTTACTTTTTACAAAAATTTTAATAACTGTACTTTTTATTGAATCAAGTAGAATACGTTTTAATATTAATCCTTTTATTTTTTTTTATTTTCGCTTACCAATTTTTAAAATGTTTCCTCGAAATTATTCTTAAATACTCTAAATTCGTCTAACAGTTAATAAATATTTTTAAATCTATGGAATATTTTTAAAACCTAACAAACCCCCGTAAAATAATTATTTAAGTTAAAAATCTAAAACTAAAAGAAAGTATTTTTGTTTAATTTTATTGACAACTTTGCTATTGCTGATTAATTTTATTAAAATGCTAGCTTAAAAAGATTTAAACTTTTTTTTAATCTGAATTTTTTCTACTTGTAAATAATGAGCATATTTTTTTTTTTTTGTAATTCTAACTTTTATATCAATTGCGTGCGGTTTTTAAAACACTTTATTAAATGTTAAAATAATCATAAATTACTTCATTAAAATTCCATTCAAAAATATCTTTAAATATACTCAATTTTTAAATATACTCAAAATTTTTTAATTATACTCAAAAATTTTTTGCTCGACGCAAATAGCCCTAGCTACACGCAAAATAGCTCTTGGACGACGTAAAATTCACATCGCCCGACGCTTTATCGCAAGGCCTGATAATAGTATTTTTAGAGAAGAGAAAATTTTCCAAAAGTCAATATAGCTTATCTTCTGAGATAAGATACAATATTAGGTAATTTGATACGATATTAGGTAATTATAAGCAGCTGTGGTGCAGTCGAAGCACACTTGCCTCAGAAACGTAAGATCCGTGGTTCAAACCCCACCTCTTGGCAAGTTTTGCAACATCGGTTGGGAAGAAGGCGTGAACTTCCTATTAAATGCTCTTCCACGGTGCTCTGTGATAAGACTGCAAGGACTTAAAAAGGACCTAAAACAAAACAAAAAAAATAACAATAATAATAATTTAGGAATAATGGAGCTTAGCATCAAACAGCACCTTTTTTACATTGATTTATTGCAGTAATAAATAGGCATTTGTTCTCCAGAGAGTTTTTCTTTTGAAAAAATAATTATAAATAGATATAGCAGCTGAACAAGAAAGCAAAAACCATGGAGTATAATGAGGCTTGACTTGGAACCAATGAGAAGGAATAAAAGCTTTCATTCCTGCCTGAATCAGGCCTTGCGATAAAGTGTCGGGCGATGTGAATTTTACGTCGTCCAAGGGCGATTTTGCGTGTAGCTAGGGCTATTTGCGTCAAGCAAAAAATTTTTTGTTTGAGTATATTTAAAGATATTTTTGAGCAGAGTTTTAATGAAGTAATTTACGATTATTTTAACATTTAATAAAGTATTTTAAAAACCGCAAGCAGTTGATCTAAAAGTTTGAATTACAAAAAAAGTAAATATGCTCAAATTACTTAAATAATAACAATCGCATTTTTGTTAAAAGTTACCGAAACTCAACGAAGCGTGCTCAAGAACAGCTGCTGAAAAATAGAATGTCAATAGTTTTTCAAATAATTTTTAATAATAATTTTTAGGAATAATTTTTTTGCTAAAATATTTCTTTTATACCTAAAAGATTTTTACTCTAACATTTTATTTTACCAAAAATAAAATTCCTTGTAAACATTAAAAATCTATTCAAAACGTTCGTTAAAGTTTTTTAATAATATGAGTGATTGTGCTTATCAACCGCTTTATGAAAATAAATAAAAATAAATAAATAAAAAGCTATTATATAAAATCGCTAGTAAAAATATTAGCTATTGCGCAGTTTTTAATTGTACATTATAAAAATTTCCAGTTTATTACTCTCTGACTTTTTAAAAAGAAAAAATAATTATTTGAAAAACTTATGTTTTTTATTCCTTTAGTATAGACAAAACGTGTCAAACGTCGAGAAAATAAACAAATATTTTTACATTTTAAAAAACGAAACATTTTTAAATAATAACATTTCTACATTAATGATTTAAAGTAATTAAGTAAATTGGTGCAGTTAATGTCGATAAATATGAAAAGCAAATAAAAAGAATTTAATGATGTCAAAAATCACGTCGTGCTTTTGTGTCGCGCAGTTCTTAATCATCGCAAGGCCTGCTGAATCCATAAGTTTATTTAAGAAGTGCATAGCAGAAAGAGAAAAGATATCAGCCCAGGGCCGTCACGAAAAAAATCAAGAAAAGAATCAGCTTTTGGGTAGTGCAATGATAGAGTGTAAGTAGTGCAATTATAGAGTTTTAGTATGTAGCGCAATGGTAGGGTGAGTCTGAAGAAAAAATATGAGAAAAAAGATTTATAGAGATAATTGCATGGTCAGAACCATCCACAAGAAGAAAAAGGAGAAACTGAATACAACTAGAGTCAAAGATAAAACACAAATTAAGGTATGAAGGTAGGTGATTAGGTTTGTCTGGAATACAAGTCAAAAAGTTATCTGAGTAAGAGATTAAAAAATGCAAAAGTTATATGTTTTAGTGCCAGCAGTGTCAGTGGCGTTAGAGCCAAGTCAGCATGATGACCATTTAAGTCACCAATAACAATAATATTGGCAGAGGGGTAAAGAGAGAGGGCATGGTCAATTTAATCATAAATTGCATCTGCAAGAGTGCAGTCTTGGGAAGAAGGATAACAATATAGAACAAAAAGAAAAGTGATAGAGTGAATAAGTGTTGAGCCAAAGCACATGATTTCTTGAAAAAACAGGTGAATAAGTAAGCATAAGTCAATACTCTCAAGCCAAACATGTGACTATTCAAGGCTCAAAATTGTGCAAAAAAAATCACGAAAAAAAAAGTTCTTTTAAAAATAAGTATACTGCTCTCCACTTCCTCCTCTCATCCCTGACATTGCTTTGCATTAAAGGAGGGGGGGGGGAGCTGCGTTATGAAATTGTATCTTGTACATTAGTTTGTAATTGTTATTTTTTTAACTTAATATCTCCCATATTTAAATATTTAAAAAAAAAGAATAAAAGAGTATTGAGTTGTTATTGTAAAAAGCTATAAAACAACAATTAAACAATGCTGCAAAGTTGTTTTGACAATATATAAAGAATTTTGTGTAAATGTAAAACAACTTCATGACGCTATTTTATTTCTGTTTTATACAGTTTATAATATTTATAACAAAAAGTGCAATTAAAATAAAGCAAATAAATAAAATTGTTGTTTAAATAAATCAAAACATCATCATAAAACCTTAAACATAATATTTGCGCAAAAACATACTACATCTATAGACCAAACAAGTAAGATCAAAGCAAAAAAACATTAGATACCACATTTTTTACTAATTTATTGCTTTCTTGATCTAGCGTAATATTAAAAATTTTAATATAATTATTTCATTCAAATGGTTTTTAAGTTTTCGTTTAAATTTTTTCATTCAAATTGTTTTGTAATAAAATGTCAGCAAAAATAATTGGTTTAATAAATCAAATTATATTTCCTTAAGTATAAGTATATGCTTAAATTATTTCTTTGGAAAAAATTTTCTTTGAACAGAAGTAAAAAAGTTGATTTTTTTTAATTTAAATTTTTTATATTTTAATTTTTGGTTTAATGTTTGCAATAATGGTAGGATTAATGTTTGCTATAGAATGTTTCTATTTTTGAAAGTATTTTAAAGAGACAAAAAATAATTAACTATTTAAAATTTTAATCTCAATATTAATAATGCTTTAAATAAGATAAAAATAGTATCACTTTTTTCATGTTTCATTTGATACTTTGTGTAAAAATAATTTTTAGTTAGAAGCTTATTATGTGTTAACAACGTAAGATAATCATAAATAAATCACCACGCAATTGAGCATATTTCTATTCAAAAGATATATTTAGCATGATATAATTTATGACCCCTAATAAAAAACTTATACAAAAGTATTACTTTTAAGAATGGCCGAAAAAAATGCTAAG